AAAGGCACTGGCCACCATGCTGAGCAAATCGAAAGAAGCGACATCACTTTTGAATCACTTATTGCAGAACCGATGGTTGCAATGGCGACACTCGTCAACTCAAAGGAAAACAAGTTGTTGGTTCATTTTGACGGAAACCCAAAGGGGGAACCAGCAACTGGGATCTGGACACATATGAGATGCTGGCGCCTACTGAAGGAGAGGATGGATCAGCGTCAAAAGGAAGCCCGGAGTTGGCCAACTGGGGAACATTGCTGGCGACGGCTGTGTCACACGGCATTGTCCATGGCTTCTGTTCGGCGGTTCAGGCTGATTGAACGAGGTTTGCATGTACGCTGCAGCTTCCTTTGCTGATCAGCCACTTCTAGGACGAGGAGAACCCCAATGAAAACAATAAGCAAAAGTCAAGGAAAAGCGTAGAAGGACGCAAGGAGGATGGGAAGGGAGGTGTTTGGCTTGTTGATCCCTTGAAAGTTGTTTTAGTGGGATGTTCACAAACCACACCCAAAACAAAAACATATATACAATGTCTACGCTCAGATGCGAAGTGGTCATGAGAAAAAGGGCATCCTTTTTTGGTTGGTTGACTTTAAAGGGGAACCCTTCCCCAAAAAAGTTGAAAAAAGGGAGGAATCCACTTGGCAACTGGGTACGGCAAAGGCTGGGCAACGCCTGGAGACAAACCTTATCATAATATGTTGCGTAAGCTTCTTATTCTACTTGATCCCTTGGAGCCTCCCAAGCAAAGGCCGAATACAGGGCCGTTGACAACCAAAGGTTCCAGGTGAGTCTGGTGTTTATGTGTGAAAGGACAAAGATGCTTTTCTCTTATCCATGCCTCAGTCTCTTGAGGGAATCATCAGCTAAGCAGTGTGTCAAAACCGCTGTACGAAAGCTCTACCAATTGCCACGGTCACAGCTTGTACGGGTCCGGGGAAACCGTTGAAGAGAAACCTTCTCGCAGAAGGGATACCATTGCTCGAGCCTTTGGGTTTCAAGCATAGGCCAAGGAAAGCACCAGATTTAAGTCCGAGATGGGCACAAAAGAATCGGCATCCTTTTTCGGCTGGTTGACTTTGAACCCCCCAAAAAAAGCTTGAAAAACAGGCGGAATCCACTGGGCACCAGTTGTAAGTTGCCCCTGCCCCAAGCTGGTGCCTGAATGAAGCGCCGCGAACTGTTCCTGGTCCGGACTTGGGTGCTGTATGCGGGACCTGGGGTACGCAAAGGAGGATTACCTGTTGAGTTCCTGGGCGACCGCAACTCGAAATGGGAGAATCAACATTCGGTTGGAGGGTGGTCGTTGTCCTGTCCTTGTGAGATCATGCACATCGTCAAAACAGTGTTCCTATCAAAACTAATTTTGATTAAGGCGGCATGCTCAGTGGCAAAACTAAACCTTCTCCAGCGACAGGGGGACATGGTTTCGATTGAACAATCGGCTGCACATCCAATGGGTGCATGTCTCTTCAGTGTTTGCACAGGAAGAATCGTATGTCTCCAAGGTTTAGATGGGTTTGTCTCAGAAACCCCACAACATCCTCGTGTTTGCCTGTGAAACCCGTTTCAAAACGGGTACCATCACAAACAAACATGTCGGGGGTCCCTGTCTCTATTGGCCTTCGGCTTTACCATGGAAGCTCAGCTCCTGAGATCCACTCAAATCTTCCAAACCAAAAAATGTAAAGTCTCAAGTCCGACTGGGCAATGGCAGCAATCTAGAGGTAAGAATGCATGGTTGGATGTCGCCAGAGATTTCCTTTTAGACGTTCAAACGGTTTCCTTGGTTGGCTACTATAGTGGCTTGCCAGGGAGTACTGTGTTAAAACGAGCTATTTCCCCCTGAAGGTTGGCGATCATGCTGCTCTGAACTGCCAAGAAAGGGGCCTGACTCGTTGTGGCACATTCCCAATTGAGCATCGCCCTATGGACGTCACGGAGCATATAGGTCGCAGAACCTCCCAAGGGAATGCATGTCCCAACCGCACGCGGTGCCTCGATGTCAAAGTGCTCCTGCCCGACAAAATAACTCGAGCAATAACCCACCTCCCACCAAAAATGGGCCAACATTGCTGGAATACGAGAGCGCAGGGTATTTTCAATTCATATGAATGTGCACAGCCAAAATGTTACGGTAAACCCAAAATGGCGATCCTCAACAAAGACACGCCCAATGCATGAGACATTCTGCATAGGTGCAGGAGGTAGGACCTAGGAACACCCCCAAAACTGGGCAGGGGCGTAATATTTATAAGTGCAAGGATGTAGTATGCTGGCAGGGGGTACAAGCCTTGCAGTCGTAGCAGGGCAACAGAGCATCCCGATGACGTGTCATGTGCAGACGCACTACCCTGCCTATTTTGCTCCAAGATTGGGCCCATATTAAAACCAGGGCCAAGACGAGGTCGAAATGAGGCCAGAACAAGGCCCGGAGCCAGGCCAAATGCGAACTTGCCCCTGTGGCTCCCACAAGACGCCTATAAAACGCTTCTCCGTGATATTACGCTTGTTGGCTGTCTCTTGACGCTGCTACGCAAAACATCCAGCGGCAACAGCTCTGGAGACGGCGCAAACCACAAGCCAGAGCAAAAACGCAACGCGTCAGTTCCTCCACTTCCTGCTCAATGCAGGGCGTTTATATCAAACATTTCGGCGTTGGAAAACGAGCTCAGTCAGTCAAAACGGGTTCAGGGTTGGAGGCCGGGGTGGGAACACCATGGAACACCCGGCCATTCCCCCATGTAGCAAATACCCCTGCAGCTCATACTATGTTGTCATTTTGGACTATGTTGCTTGTCGAAAGTATGTGCCCCCCTGAAATGGGCTGCTACTGGCATTCAACACAAGGAAGCGGTACATACGCCTTTCATACCATACACGTAGCGGGTATGATACTAAGGGTGCGTTGGCAAGGGCACATTTCACTTTTCTCAGATTAGCATCTCTCCACGGCGGGATTTCCCTCACAAACCCTGAGCAGCACATAAATACATGCTTCAACCTTGACTCACACACACCCAACACGACATACCTTCAGAGAATCCGTGAGGCTACAAACATGTCGCCGATGACTGTTTAAGGGAGGAATCACCATGAATGAGACCCTTGCCTTTAGCCTTGTGCTTCGTTGCCGTGGTATGTCATGTGCTTCGACATGTCTGATTTACTCTCATCCGCTGGAGCGGAAGTTGACCCATCCTCTCTTTCGGCAGGGCCGAGCCAGATGCCCTTGGAGTCCCATGTGGCAACCACGTCCATGGCATGAAGCTACCCCCCCGGCAGCTGGATGCAAAAAGGGAGGATGGTCGTGGGCTTGAGAAGGATTCTGACAATAAAGCACAAGCATGCGTGTCAAAATGGGGGGACACTAGTTTGAAGGGCTTTCGGTGGTTTCCTGCCAGACAGGGAAAGCACATTCGGTCTAAAAGCAAGGGCTTCATTGATGGACACTGTCCTCCGAAATGGAATATAATGGAAAACCAAAAGGACTAAAGTAAAAAACCATAAGCTAAGTCTGACAATACCAGTGCCACACAAAAAAGAACAACTACCATGAAAAAACCCGAAATGGTGGCTTGCCTTTTGGCTTCCCAAGCCAACGCAAAACTTCGCCTCATAAAGATCCAAAATGTTCTCGACCGACCGACCGAGCTCTCAGCCGAGCCTCCTGCGACTCCCGGGGGGTAAGCACAAAGTGCATCCCGCCAGCCTGCAGCTGCCATTGTCGATCGGACCATTCTCAGGAAAACCAAGGGAAATCGGTAGACAATTGGTTGCTGGGAGACCAAAGGGAAGCGTTGAATCCAAGAAATGTCTTCCAATCTAATATAGTTTAATCCGAATTTCTACAAATCTAATAAATTTCTTCCAACAACTTGGGAGAAGGAACTTGGGGTGTGCTCATCTTTGAAAACATCTTGGAGCCTTGGCCTCTCAAAGGGCTGGTCGGAAGCCACAAACCTCTATCTCAACAGAGGGCTGGCTGGCCAGCTAAAATAGGTCCCAGGCGGTCAAGAGGTATTTTTGATGAAGAACTATGTCTAGGTCCTCCAGTAGAGAGGTTAGAATCAGGGTACCCGTTTTTTCCGTTGTCTATTTGTGTAGCCCTCCCCCAAAAAAGGGTAAAAGGGCACTACTGGGGAACCTAGGTGAAGAACTATGTAGCATACTGGGGGACCTAGATGTAGAATGTTGTAACACCTCCGTCCGCACGATATCTTGCTTCATGCTCAAACTCATGGAACCCTAGCCTTCCCATACAAGACCCCTTAGTACGGCTTTGGTAAGGCTTGGTTGAGGCGCACAAACCAATACCAAGGCCATATTTTGGGCATCTCGGGAGTGTACCCAAAAAGGGAGTACTTGGCTAAAGACAGGGCCCAAAGTAACTTCAAAGCTGGCTCTGGTGGTTCTACGTGGAACCCCTCGACATGCGCCACGCTGCGACGCTTCCCGCTTTGAACCCATTCAAGTGGCATCCTGAATATCTAGGTCTATTTTAGTAGGGGAACCCTCCCCCGCAAAAGGGGCAAACGGGCACTACTGGGGGACCTAGCATTCAAGCGGCATCCTGAACATTACGAGTCCCTCGAACGGGCTGCAACCCGAAACTGATCAAATCCCGGCGCCACGTCCGCCTCGCTGACCGGCATGCTGAACCTCAGACTTGGTGCTGTGGTGTGTTTCCATGGGGAAACACAACGGTCGACGAGTTGAATGTGGCTACCCTGTGCAAACAAAACCTGGAACATGACGCCAAGACATCAAAACTCATGGGCCACCGTCAAAATATGTGGGCAGCATGAAGAACATGCGAAACAGGTTTGTGGGACATTTGGTCAGCCCGCCCCCGCTCCCCCCCCACCCTCCCCAAGCACCTCCCAAACTGACTGTATATCTTGAGCACAGAAACCACACAATTACTTGGGCCCAACATGGAAGGGGAAGTGCCGCACAAAACACGCAGACTGATGATGCGTGTCTATGCAGCTCAAAACTCGACCATTCCGGGCACAGCAGATCGGGCTACGAGCAAAGTGATAAGGATTATAAAGAACCAAGCAGTAGTGCAAAATACACACGCACACACACACACAAACACACACACACACACACACACACACACACACACACACACACACACACACACACACACACACACACACACACACACACACACACACACACACACACACACACACACACACACACACACACACACACACACACACACACACACACACACACACACACACACACACACACACACACACACACACACACACGCACACGCACGCACGCACGCACGCACGCACGCACGCACGCACGCACGCACGCACGCACGCACGCACGCACGCACGCACGCACGCACGCACGCACGCACGCACGCACGCACGCACGCACGCACGCACGCACGCACGCACGCACGCACGCACGCACGCACGCACGCACGCACGCACGCACGCACGCACGCACGCACGCACGCACGCACGCACGCACGCACGCACGCACGCACGCACGCACGCACGCACGCACGCACGCACGCACGCACGCACACGCACGCACGCACGCACGCACGCACGCACGCACGCACGCACGCACGCACGCACGCACGCACGCACGCACGCACGCACACACGCACACACGCACACATCGAACAGGGACTGCTACATGGCTCAAATTTTAGCAAAACTTGGAGTGAGGAATGGCAGATATTTTACTGATGCTTGCGGACAGTAGAAAAGGGATTCGGCAAACTGCCCCAACATTTCTCCTATGGAGCTTGCTCAATGCTGATTGCCGCTGACCGCAGCTCTCGTCTGACATATGGTGCTCAGTGCTCGGCCCCGCCATTGGCTCTGCAGGCGTTGTACTCCTGACAGGGACGTGTCTGCCAGAACGTCAGGATCCAAGTGGATTGATTTCCATGCCGCATTGGATCATTCCACAAGCCGGGGGCAGGGAAACGGAGGTACTGAGCAGGATGACTGCTACAAGTGGTGGGCACCGCATCACCCACTGAGAGCAATGTCAATGTCAAGGGGGGAGTCGCGGGCAATCGGAACATTCCCAGGGGCATCAAACCATGGGTCACTTCAGAGATAACGTTCGGGGTTGCTCCGAAGCTTCGTGCACGAAGGGCAGACAAACAGACAAATGGCTCCGCTGAAGGACCCGGAGCAACCCTGGCTCTACCTCAAACCAAATGGCTTGAAAGCATCTCAATTGTGCTCAGATTGGTCCAAGGCCGCCAAGGCTCCAAGGCTGCTAAGGCTGGCCCATTACCACCTAGACCTTTTAGCACATAGTTCCCTTATAAAAACCCGCGGTTCCATTTCCACCATCCAATGAAAACGCACTCGGACTATACATCAAAAACGTGTGTGAGGTGCACTGCGGACATCCATTGGCCGGCAGATTTTAAGGGAACCCTCGTCAACACAAGTAGAGACGAAGAGACCCAAAGGTCTCAGGTACCTGAGGATCAACCCAGTGGATGCCTGAAGGGGACAGGGAATCCCTGTAAACATGGTTGGGTTGGTTTGCTTGCAATGGAAGCACCCTTTAGGGTGGAGCCTCCGCTTGCATCGTATTCCTAGATACCCATATTTGCTTTGACAATTTGACGCAACAGGAGGTAGTCAACAGGGATCCTTGTGTGTCCCCGTGACCATGTCACCACACGATGTCTTTTCACAACAAGTTCGGTGAAACTCTACCCAAGCCAATATACAAGGACGCCTGGTGATGGTCACACGCACCATGAAAGGCCGAAACATGTGCAGTCAGGAATTTCTGCATTGAGTGTCTGTTCATATCATGTGTTGAAATTGCAAACCCCCACAATGGTGGGTTTCCATTTGGTTTCCCTTTCAACCAACGCCAAAAAACGGATCCTCCAAAGTGGAACCCTCTACATCCCCGCTGCATATTTTGCCAAAGGTCACATTAAAACGCACGTACACATACACACTCACACACAACGACCACCGGGCTCCTAATTTCTGGAAGCACTTGGCTTGTTGTGCATGGTTTTACTCCTAGATTGAAATAGTTGGTGAGTACCATCAGGTCACAACAACATGCGTAATGCCCCATGTTTTTGTATGGTGCAGCTCAAATGTGCAAATGCTGTCACAGCTGTTGCCCGGCCTCGCGTCCTCATAGATGAATCGCCGCCCTAGCGGGAGCTCGGGAGGCTTTGCTGCTGGAAGTTTGTTCCAAACTCATAATGCTGTCTTTTTCCCGAATGCGTAGCATAGGGTTCTCGTTTCATCTTGGGGGTCTGGGGGTGAAACCTTGTTCGCCGGATGTTGCGCAACCGTCCGCAACCGATCAACCTTTCGCAACCGTTCGTATGATTGCGCTATGGCTCTCTTAGTGGGGAAGCGCAGAACGCATGAGCTTGATGACTTGTGATGTGCTGTTTTCGTTGGCCCTGTGCGCGAATCGTAGCTGCTCAAGCTCGACGTGTGGTTTCGCTGCGCAGGCGCAGTGTTTTGGAAGGCTGCGTGTTCTCGTTGCCGTGCCAGTGGGGTTTGCGATCAGGGGTGGTCGCTTTGAGGTGTCCTAGTGATAGTGTTTGCGCCGGCGCCGTTTTCATTGGCCCTGTCGTACAATCGGCTTGTTTTGGCTTGAAGAATGTGTAAAATTGGTCGCAATCATTCTGGCGCCACAGTCCCGTGCTAGTTTTGGATGCGTGTCGTAAACGTGTCAAAGTTGGATTTCGTGGCAGGTCTAGCAGTTTGGATGGTTTTGAGTTCGTGGCAAGCTTACTTTGCGTGACAGGCGCAGCACTTTCGAGCGTTTTGGTGGAATTTCGTGGCAGGCGCAGCACTGTGGAGCTTTTCGTGCAAATTTCATGGCAGGCGCAGTACTTTGGCGCCTGGGTGTAGATTTAGTGGCAGGCTTGCTCTCGCTGTGGCGCGGTGCACATTTCGCATTTTGAGAACACGAAGTGAACCCTCTGCGCACTTTGGGTTGGTGGAATCGCTCTCGCTGTGGCGCGGTGCGCATTTTGAGCGCGCAAAGCACTTTGGGTGGGTTGAATTGCTCTTGCTGTGGCGCGGTGCGCGTTTGGCGTTCACAAGTGTCAATCACAAGTGTCCATTAGAAGTGTCGTTCAGAAGTGTCGATTAGAAGTGTCGTTCAGAAGTGTCGCTCAAAAGCAACGCTCAGACGTATTGGTCGGAAGTGTCGACAGAGGTGTTGCTCGGAAGCGTCGATCAGAAGTGTTGCTCAGAAGTGTCGATAAGAAGTGTCAAACAGAAGTGTTGCTCAGAAGTGTTGCTCAGACGTGTCCCTCAGAAATGTGGTCAGACGTGTCCCTCAGAAATGTTGTCAGAAGTGCTGATCAGAAGTGTTGCTCAGAACTAGAACTGTCGATCAGATGAGAAGTGTGGATCAGACGTGTTGCTCAGAAGTGTCAATCAGAAGTGGGGTTCAGAAGTGTCGCTCAAAAGTGTCGCAAAAGTGTCAGTCAAAAGTGTTGCTCAGAAGTGCCGCTCAGAAGTGTCGAACAGAACTGTTGCTCGGAAGTTTCGATCAGAAGTGTGCTCAAAAAGTGTTGCTCAGGGGAATCGCTCATTGCTCAGAGGCGTCGCTCAGAAGTGTCGCTCAGGAGCGTCGCTCATGTCGCTGAGGGATATGTGTAGAAATGTTGCTCGAATTGTCGCTCAGGAGTGCCGCTCAGCAGTGTTGCTGATGTGTGTGTGTGGCTCAGACGTTTCTCTCAAACGTGTTTTCAGAGTGTCGCTCCGGAGCGCCGCTCAGTGTTGCCCAGAAGTGTTGTTCAGAGGTGTCGCTCAGAAGTGTCGCTCAAAAGCGTCGCTTACATGTGTGTGCGTGTTTGCTCAGAAGTGTTGCTCGGAAGTGCTAATCACAAGCATCGGTCAGAAGTGTTGCTCAGAACTGTCGATCAGAAATGTCGGTCAGGGGTGTCGATTAGCAGTGTCGAATCAGCAGTGTTGCTCAAAAGTGTTGCTCGGAAGTGTTGCTCAGAAGTGTCGATGAGCAGTGTGGATCAGAAGTGTTGATCAGAAGTGTTGCTCCCTCAGAAGTGTTGCGCATAAATGTCGCTCTGAAGTATCGATCAGAAGTGTATATTAGAAGCATCGATCGGAAGTGTTGCTCAGAAGTGTCGATCGTGGTATCGGTTAGAGATGTCGATCAGCAGTGTCGAATCAGCAGCGTTGCTCTCAAGTGCGCCTCAGAAGCGTCGATCAGAAGTGTCGATCAGAAGTGTTGCTTGGAAGTGTCGCGCAGAAGTGTCAGTCTGAAGCATTGCACAGAAGTGTCGCTCAAAAAGTTGATTTCAGCACTATTGAGAAGTGCCGTTCAGAAGTGTCGATGAGCAGTGTGGATCAGAAGTGTTGACCAGATGCTCAGAACTGTCGATCAGAAGTGTGGATCAGAAGTGCCGATCTGAAGTGTGGGTCAGAAGTGTCGATCAGAAGTGTCGACGACTCCGAAGTGTCGATCAGAAGTGTTGCTCGGAAGTGTCGCGCAGAAGTGTCAGCCTGAAGTGTTGCTCAGCAGTGTCGCTCAGAAGTGTCAATTCAGCGTGTTGCTCAGAAGTGTCGCTCAGAAGTTTCGATGAGCAGTGTGGATCAGAAGTGTTGCTCAGAACTGTCGATGAGAAGTGTGGATCAGAAGTGTTGCTCACAAGTGTCAATCAGAAGTGTGGTTCAGCAATGTTGCTCAAACTGTCTATCAGAAGTGTCGATCAGAAGTGCGGATCAAAAGTGTTGCTCAGAAGTGTCGATCAGAAGTGTTGCTCAGAAAAGTCGATCAGAAAAAGTGTCGCTCAGAAGTGTTGCTCAGAAGCGTCGATCAGAAAAAGTGTGGTTCAGAAGTGTTGATCAGGTGTCGCTCAAAAGTGTCGCTCACAAGCGTCAATGAGAAGTTGTGCTCAGACGTGTCGCTCAGAAGTCTAGTACGCGCTGGAAAATCGCAACTTTGCACTGCAAGTCTAGTACGCAAATTACAGGTTTCCAGCTCTAGCTGGAAAATCACAACTTTGTAGCACAAGTCTAGTACGTGAAGTACAAGTTTCCAGCTCTGGCTGGAGAATCGCAACTTTGAAGTGCAAAATAAAGTACGCGAAGTACAGGTTTTGAGCTCCAGCTCGAAAATCTCAACTTGTAGTACAAGTCTAGCGCGCGAAGCGAGGTGTCCAGCTCCAGATTGAAAATCGTAAGTTTGTAGCAACAAGTGGAGCACGCAAAGTACAGTTTTACAAGCTGAAAAACATAGTTTGCGCAGTTGGCTTGATTGCGAGCCCCATTGGCTTATACCGAAAAAAGTTCTCTCTAATTATTCTCTTGGGTTTGCACAAAGCGATGTGCATTCCGGTTCGTGGGCTCTGTCTTGTTTTTTAAATGAGTGAGCACCTTATGCCAGATTTGTGCCCGCAGGACAAAGTTTCTGGCTGGTTGAAAGCGAATATCTGTCAATGTGTTTGCCAACAAAGTGCACAAGCCATCACGCTCCAAACTGCCCAGCAATCAATTGGCGTGGCTGTGAGGATCACCAACCACTCGGCAAGCATGTCCACGCACGTCCACGAACCTTCGCAAGACGCATGCCCAAACTGCAAGTCCCCTAGAAAAACATGACAGAAGCCACAAACCCAAATGCAGAGTAATTGCCCACAGCTACCGTTGTGCATGTGTCCTTGCCTATCCATTTGCCTGCCCGTTGGCCTATTGATTTTGCTAGCTATCCATCTGTCTGTTCATCATGCACCTACTTGTGCATCTACTCATGCACCTATCTATCTGTCTCTGTGTCTATCCGTCTGTCCATCTACGCTGTATCTGCACATCTACCCACCTATTTGTCCATTTATCTACCTGCTTGCCGACCTGTCGCACACAGCCTAATCTGTTCCAACCTAGCTTATCTATCTTAACTTAAACTAACCTAACCTAGCCCAATTTAGACGAATCTAGCCTATACATCTATCTGTCTACCTATCTATCTACCTACCTGCCTGTCGATCTATGTTCTCTCTTATCTAGCAATCTAGTCTAATCTATCTGTCTATCTCCCCCTTCTACCAGCCTACCGATCTCATCTATCTAAAGCTTGTCTATCTTTTCAATACCTTCTCTCTATCTCCACGTATCTATCTATCTACCAATGTCGTCTATCTCTATCTGTCTCTCTCTCTCTCTCTCTCGCTCTGTCCTTCTTCTCTCGGCCTATCCATCTGGATCAGCCCTTCGTGTATCCATCGGTCTATCTATCTGTAATCTAGTCTAACCCATCCATCTACCAACCTAGCCAACCCCTGTCTATTTATCCAATCCATTCTCTCGATCGATGTGTTTCCAAATCTATCTACCTTGTCTACTTGTCGGTCTGTCTGTTTGTCTGTCTGTCTGGCTACCTATCTCTCCCCCAGTCCTTCTCCATCTCCCTCTCTCTCTCTCTCTCCCTCTCTCTCTCTCTCTCTCTCGTTCTCGCTCTATCTATATCTATCCATCCATCCATCTACCTATCTCTGTATGTGAATCGTTCTATCTTTCTTTCTGCTAGACACCTCCAAAATCAAATGGAAGCGTTCCCAAGAAGACCAAAAGTCTTCCAAAACCCAATCAAAGTCTCAATGCGTGACCCAGATTTGAACTCATGAAGCCCCATGTTCGTTGACAAGTGACCTGGGGCTCAGGCCAAACAACGCAAATCAAACTCACCAAAGGGTCCCGCAAAAAGTTCCTGCCCATTCCCCCTTCGAAAAGCATTGCAATGGTTGCCCGCCACAGTCCTTGGCCAAATCACGCCCCTCTTGCGCCCAGAAGTTGATTCCCCTGCCCCGGATGTTAACAAAGATGTATGTTGTTTGCGATTTGTGCTGGCTTCGACTTCATGATTGGCGTTGGAGCGCAGGAAAAGTTGCTGGTTTCTACTTTGTTTAGTATTGGCTAGTTCTGCTGGGATGGGAGAGTTGGGAGTCGGGGAAAATTTCGCTGTACTGGGGTACATTTTTCATTGGGGGTAGTGATTGTGACCATCCCTTCCAGCTCCGCAATCAAAGGTACATGTGAGGCACGGTCAAGAGGCAGTTGCCACCTGGAAAACGGGAAACATGAGTCCCAGGCTTGTGTGGTGGAAAAGTGGGATCTGCCTCAAACACACTCGAAACCACAAAAACACAGAAAAGCCTTGACCCTGAAGCAAGGGATGTGCCCCCCCACTCAATCCTGGACTGCCACAAAACAAACAAACTTATTCGTTGCCACTAAAACTCCAAGTGAGGTGGGGGCGGCCAGCGGTTTTATGCTTTCAGCTGGCCTGCCATCATGGTTCTTCATTCACGCCCGCCTCTGGGCGCACGAGGTCGATCCTCCTGCAAGCCCGGCTGCGCAGGGGCAAGATGCGTAAAAACGGCTCATTGTTTTCGAAAAGTCAATAATTGCAATTGTGAACGGCTTTCTTGGCCTTGCTTGGACCACCCTTTGGTACGCAACAATGCGTACCACTCGGATCTGCTCGTATTGTTTTTTCTGCAGGACGCTCTTGACCCCCTGCGTGCTGGGAGGCCTTCGTTCGGCTTAAGTTTGGGAGGGCCTCTGCCACTTCTCAACGGCCTTGGTCTCTCGCGTAGCTGGTATAGCGCTAGAGCAGCGGCACGCCACACAGGGCTCGGAGGGCGCGCATTTCCAGTCGCAGATTTCGGCGCAGCTCGTCTCCGCGCTCGGCGGGTCATCTGGCCCTCGCAACGGTTTCGAAGCTGAGCAGTCGTGTATAAGCCAAAACAAGTGATGGAAACGGGGGCTTTGTCCGTCCTGCCGCCGGAAAGCACCGCGATCGAACCCCGCGTAGGCCGACGCGACCCTCCGACCTGTCGGCCCGCCACAGCCTCTACGACCCTCCCACTTCGGACTGGGCAACCAGCTGCCTCTTCCCAGGGCTTACCACGCCCTCCGCTTTGCTGCTGGCGGGATGGGTCTGCTTAGCTGCCCCTCCACGCTAGATTTGTCCAAGCCACCCTGGGCGCGACGCCCCGCCTCCTGCTGCCAAGCCCCCGGCCCAAGCCTTAACCATAATCCCTGAGAATAGGGTCGAAGCTTTTCTTTGCCAGACCTGCGCAAACCCTGGACCTTTCGGGAAAAGCATTCCCGTTGTTGGCACGGCCAGCTTGTAAGGGAGAAACATGCTTTGACTCCCCTCACAATTGGCTGCCAAAAGTTCGACAAACTACTATCCCGCAATGTGCGAGTTTGGAGTGAACCAATCGAAACCTGATGCGTGCTGCAAAGGCTGCGTTCGCGGCAAGTACACAGTGTGATGCATCATGCTCGCATTACTGGAGCATCATGGAAATGATTTCATGGACTTTAAAATAGTCGCCTTGGCGATAGCAGACGTGATCGCTTTGAAATGTGTTTTGTAGATGCAGGATTAGACAAGACTTGAAAATCCTCAGTCTCTTGAATAACTGGGATGGTGCCAAGTAGTGTTTTCAACACGCCCAAACGTGCATTCCTTCAACCACACTGCCAAGGAGCTGTCATCCCAAGCTGCTTCCATTCAGATTTGGGTGCGGCATTGGGTTCCCTACGCGTCGCCTTTAGCACCCCCGTACGAGCCATGACTCAAAAACTCACCGATACCGAAACAAGATGCAGTCCAAAACCGAAAGAATCTGCCAGGTGCTGGGCGCCTACCGCTGCTGCACAAGATTGTCCTTTCAGCCTCCCTTCGGAAAATCAAGATATCTAATACAGTGGCCTCTGAAAGAGTTACCTTAAGGTAAACTCTGAAGGTGAAAACGGCAGCCACACTTGCAATGCCCCTCAACAGCAACGTCCGGCTTTGTGCCAAAGGAGAAAGACACAATATTCCTCCACCCTTTTACAAAGAAGTCCATTGTTGGAACAGCCGATTCAGGCCCCCTTCAAGATCAAACCAAACACCAACCATTGCGATAGCTGCTTCATAGCGCAAACAAAGAGACAGCCAGAGTTGCCAAACCAAAAACCTTGATTTTCTCAACATTGCTTTGAGCAAGACTAGCACACCGCCATGTTTTTTCAAGAAAGGTACGGTTCAAACAGGTTGAAGAACGGTTTGCTTGCCCTTTCAAGAGGACCAGGGTCTGGTTGGAATCGTGTTGCTTGTCCAACCCGACCTCTGTGTGATACACCCCTGAGCCAGCATGCCCGTAGCTCTCTCTCTCTCTCTGTCCATGTGGAAGTAGGTCGCCCGCACCAGTTCGACCACCTGGCAACATGCACGTCACGAGCCATGTAAATTACTCCAGCTTTCAACCGGATGTTCAGCCCGAATTCAACCCACTTGGTAGCTTTCAATATGGTAACAACCAGTCGTGCCTTTGCTAACCATATAACCTACTTGCTATGCGAGTTGAATACCCAAGTATGGCCAAAGGGCTCCGAATTCCCCGAAAAAAAATCACCGTCTAGAGGAGAGTCACTTCAAGCTGGCCAAAAAAGCCACCGAAAAGGGACAAACGGTCTGTCTTTTTTCAGGGGACCCCCAAGGTGGGTGTACTCTGGTTGTTTTTCGGTAAAACCCCCTGGGCCATTTGTCCACGTGCGCATTCAGGATGGTACATCAGAGTTGTCACACGCCGGCTTCTGGAGGATCACTTGAAAGAACCTGCCCAAGCACTAACTGCGCCCCGTGTTTTAGCAGACCATTTTAGTAGTCGTTGATCAACCCAAGCTATAAACATCTGGCAGGTGTCTGCCGGGAACTTTCTCACATGTTGCCACCTTTTGGTCGAAAAGGCAAGCGAATTCCGCCCTCCTTCCCCTTGGCTGCACGCATCTGCATCCCAGCGACTCAACGGTGGGACTCACAAAAAGCAGGAAACTTTAGGAAGGGATTGAGAGCCCCATTTCAGGGGAAGCTTTGCTGAGTAACTGAGACCAGGAAAAAGTGATTGAGCCTCAACATATCAGTCACATTGCACGCTTACAACCCACAAAGCCCAAAAGAACACCGCGGCCGATTTTGTATCATGATCAAAGTCGCCCAGCGAATGGAAGGTATAAGGTAAGTACCCCCCAATTTCTGGCCTCAACCTCTCGTCCGAATCATGCGCCCTGGAAAAGTGATGTGAGGTCACCCAAGATTTGAACAACAAACAAGATAGACTCCCCCCCCAAAAAAAAAACAAAAAACAGGGAAACAAAAAACGGACGGTAGTCCGGGCGCCCCTTGTTGGCCTGGTTTGGGACGATCCCCCGAAGAGTATACGCTTGAATGGACAAAAAGCTCGGGTGTTCCTTGAGCTCCTGTGCCTGTCATCTAGATACAAGCAACTCCTAGAATACCTTGGGCATCACCAGCTCCAAGCAAGCTGGCTTGGTTTGTTGCAAGCTAGAATCGTAGCCACAAGTAGTGAATCCAACTTGAGAGTACTGCTGCCCCCCTGCACAACCGCTGGCCGTCTTGTGACCTACTTGGATGTTCAACTCACTTAATAAGTACTGAGCAGCTGCAGCCTTGGTGCTCAGGGAACTAATCCCGGTTACCCCGGCTATATCTATGCTTGTCTACTAGGTCATTCAGTAAAGAGGATAGAATAAGGGTACCCGATGTTTTACTGTAGTCTATTTTAGGTCGCGGAACCCTCCCAACCAAAAAAGGGTGAGAAAGGGCACCTAGCTGGTGAGATATGGCTGTGGGTCAAAAATAGGTACCCAAAAATGGAACCCTGGTAAGGGAAACATGGCGGGTTTAATTTTGACCCATACCCACATCTATGCTTATCTACTTCACCTGGGTTGAACATCCAAGTGGGCGACTCAAGCTACGTCTTGCCTTGCCATCCTCCGACTGCAGCTCTCGCATCTCGAAACGCTTGCCCATCCTACGCAAGCCAAGTACCCGGTGGTGGCCGTCCAAGTGCTTGAAAGGAACAAACACTGCCGTGTTTCTCGAGAAAACATCAGTTGTTGGTGGCTCTCCGGCAATCTGCACGGGAGCATGGAAAACGGGACCATGATCGTCCTATATTTTGATTGTGGGGACTGACTTGTTCGAGACAAGAACATCAATTCACAACATAAGTTCAATTTGATTTAAGAAAAAGAAAAAAAAACAATGAAATGAGGTCAATGTTGAAAAAACGACCCAAAGCACATTCGTACAGCCTGCATAGTGAAAATTGATGACCTTTTTTAGATCCAGTGTCCTTTCCAAGACGTGCTCCCTTTTCCTCCACTCAATGCCACGCGCATTATTTGTTTATGTCTGCGTATTTGTCCTTTTTCGTTTGCTTGCTCCGTTTCCAGCCCTTTCCTTGTCCTGTGGGTTTTGCTTCCTGGTTGACGCTTCAAATGAGGAAGATGATGCCAGGTGTCCCTCTTTCCTTGTCTGTTGTTTCGCAGTATCCAAATTCTGCAAATGTCCTTGACTCAGATTGAGAAACTTTGAAAAAGAAGGTCTGCTTAGAGGAAGATTACCCTAAAGGAAAGCAATCAAATAAGTAATACTCATTGAATGCAAGATCAGCTATGGCTATGTCAATAATTGCTTGTGCCGAATGACCAATTTAGCGAAGTGGAAGCGAACAAATGTTCAATCCGCCGACCCCTTTGCCAAAGCCATCCTCCAAAGGGGCGAGGATGGCGTGTTTTTAGTGGATAGGGGGAGTGTGAGGGGCGGCCCCGGCATTGTTTGTTGACGCGAATAAGCTCGTACGTTGCTAGCCTCTAACTTGTTGAACCTCTGACATGCAAATCTTATCCTCCGTCTTCTCGAACCTATAACTTCCTGAACATCTACCTTCTCCAAGCTCGAACTTGTCTAACCTCCAACTTCCCTAACCTCTAACATATCTAATCTACAATGATATCCACTCTTGACAAAGGTTACGGTTATTCATTGAAAGCGATGTGCCTTCCAGGGCACACGGCTGAATTGAAGTGTCAGGTTCAAGAAGCCACCCGATTGCCACGGATCCTCGAGCCTCCAGCAACATCCCCTCTCAGGATTCATCTGTGTGTGTGTGTGTCAGAATCGGGACCCCCCCTAATCACTCCTTTTGGTTTTCCTTTAAACCAAGCTGCTCTCCAAAAACATGCTTGCACCGTGCTGCAAGCTGCAAGATTATTGGTCATACTATAATATATACTGGGGTGCAGGAATTCGTCCAAGCACGGTACCTCGCGACACATAATGCGCCCCACAATTTCTTTGGGTTTCTCTGAAAGCCTGAGGTCACAAGCCCCACTTGCGGTCGCTCCCAAGTTCCCCACCTGCCGGTTTGATACTCCGACAATTCAGCAAGTGAGGCACACACTTCCCCAAAGCGGGTCGCAAAGACGCTGAGCCTTTTGAGTGGCGTCACTATGAACGGCAAAGGAAACCAAAGGCATGTGTGGGAAACCAAAGGTTGAAAGCTCGACCCGCTTTTGGGCAACTGAGCTCACGTTGCTTAGTCTCGAGACACGAAATGTAATGTTGTGAAATAGGCAAATCCTTCTGCGTGGGCTTGGTTTGACCATGGGTTGGGCAAGGCACAAACCCAGGGACAACAGCCTCCAGTTTCAGTCCCGACATGTCCAATCCCAACGTTGCGCCTGTTCAGCTGGGTAAAAATACACTTCGAAGAAGCCTCCGACATACCTCTTGATCAGACCATCCCCAAGCCTCCCATAAAAAAGACAATGTTTAAACACCAGCTGTGTCAAGATCTCACTCAAACAACCCGCAAGCTCCCTCCAACAACCTAAGCTCAAAAGGTTGTTGATTGAACAAAACCACACCACATCCAGGTTTTAGTCGTTTTTGACCTAGCCAATCTGGGCAAGTTGTAGCTCACCAACCCAAATACCGAACCCCCAAGAAAGAAACCCTCACTTTGACGTCGCCCGACGTACGTCACAGCCTCCCCATGGAAATTCACCCTGATACCAGAGTGATCTCCATGGCTACCTTAGCACAACAAGAGCTGCCAATCCCAATGCGGAGCGAGCTCCTGGACGTACTTTCAATCGCCACCCGGCGGACGTGTTGCAACTGTGCTCCACGAAGGTCCGGGTGCTCCAGCAGCAACAGCCTCGAAAACCGAGAAATTTGGCGAAAAACGGCATTTGTTGCATGTATTCAAAAGGGCTTCTGTGAGGACCCAATTGAAATCCAGGCAACCCCCCCCCCAAATGTGCGGCAATTGTTTCGACAAAACCCTGAAGCTCAAACAATTGTTGCAATGCCGCATTCGCAACCAACCGAACCCAACCTCACCCAAATTTACCGCCCCCAACCCCACCCAACCGAACCCGACCACACGCAACCCAAACCAACCGAACCCAACCCAACTCACCCCAACCAACCCCTAATCCAAATACCCACGCACTTTCTCCGGGTATGGATTGAAACAACGTGTTTTCCATGGGTCACACTCCAAAAGAGAGCCAACAGGGAAAAGAACAAGTCCCCCAAAGGCGCATCCGAACTGATTTCTGGAGCTACGGCCATGCCATGGAAACCCGGAAACTGACACAAAACTCCAACAAAGGGTCCCCAAATTTACACCTGATACACATTCATACATCTGCTAGGTGTATCACATGCCCTGTGCTCAAGCCCAAGGATTTTGGTGGTGCCGTGGTTGGACGCCAATCGGGAGGATTAACGCTGATTGAAATGGTAGGAAGGGCCGGACATACCATTTACCCCCCAATCAAACTTTCGGCCCCCGCAAGTTGCAAGGATGCAAATTTAAGCAAAGTTGCCTTGATCTGCAACCTCCTGCTCGTCTTGTTTGGGAAGGGCCAACAGCTAGCTAGGGGGTCAAACACAACTCTGCCAACTGCGAACTGCTTTCCAGCCTCGAATCGTCGAAGCCATGAAGCGCGAATTGCAAAAACAACTCGCCGACGGTACATGGGTGCGCACTTTGGGGGGGGAGGGGGCGCGTTCAAAACAGCGAAGGGCTGCCAGTCTAGAGGTTGACTCGCATTGCGGGGCAGGACCTGCATGAAATTCGTCCCTGCAAGAACTAAAACACTACAGAGGGCCCAGTGCCCATGGCCCTCAGGTTTAAAGGAGATCGGGGTGTTATAACCAATAGCTATGCTGAGATCGTTCCCTGGGACCACTTGTCAAGCCACTTTGCTTGCGCTTTCTGATTGGTGGACACCCTCTCGTGCAGCGGCAATACGGGTTTGTGCTTTTGGCTTGGTTCAAAGGGCAACAATGGGACAACCACCATTGTTGGGGGTCACCCTGTGTTCGACACACATCCATGTACCCTCCCACCAACTAACATGGAAGTGCACAAAGCCCCTTTCCAGGGAGGGTAGTGGGTATAAAACCCGTTTGCCTTCGGAGCAGCTATACACTCCGCTTGGCTCGGGCCCCGGCATTTCTACGAAGCCTTCCTCGTCTACGTCCACCCCGTGCTTCTGGCCCAGCACGGCAGTCACTGGTCTTAACAGGGTAGGGGTACCTTATCCATTCTTTCCAGGCATCCTCCTTTCTACAAAACCACCCAAAACCCTTGGGAAACAGCTGGTTTTTGAAAGAAAAAGAATGGGGAATCAACCCCTAGAAGGGTGGGGTTATATGGGGGTTGATCACAAGGTCCGTCACATGGGATGACCATTGGGGAACTCCCACTTGGGAAAAGTTACCCATCATTCGGGGGCCAGGAATATTGATATCAACGCCCATAAAGAGGAATCTCAGCAGGCGACTGCCAGGCTTCTGCTTGTGCGAAGCTCCAGCTTTTTCCAATCCGCGCGAATGGCTTCGGACCCCGAAGGCTAGGAGATTCGAACAGGTTGCCCATGGGCCATGGCGATTTATCAGAGAAGTCCAGGAACGAAATGGTTCGGTGTATGGGGCACAGTCCCCTACTAACTAGGTCCTCAGATAGAGAGGTTAGAATAAGGGTGCCCGATTTGCTTTTCTGTATAGAGTTTATTTTAGAAGGGGAACCCTCCCCCAAACAAGGGTAAAAGGGCACCTGGCTGGGGCACCTAGCCTAGCTGAATTCCAAGGTCAACTCTGGACCCATTAGAGGCTTTCAGGATTTCTTAACCCTGGCAGTCTGAAATCCTGGCGTCCATGACAAGGCCTCAAGTGACCAGGTGCTTTGACCTCAAATGGTTAGGAGGCATGGATGGCCGGGTGCCATTTCTGGCAAGGAACTTCGATTGCTGCCCAAATGTTACAGTGGATAAGCAAACGCGACACAAACTGCTGACTGCATCCTCCTACAATTCAACAAACTTTCCAAACCCAACAAACCATCACTTTTAGCAGAGTCTCCTTTTGACGAGACATGTTCAAACTCCTGCTGTGGGTCATGGGTCCACGTCCCTCCCAAGCAAGAACGGGTTTCTCTCTACCATCTAAAATGGGTGTTTTCTCTTTGATTCCCAGAACCAACCCCAAAAACTGTGCCCTCAAAGAGACAAAGCCACATGGGTATGGCTCAAAATCAAAGAGCTGGGGTTATGCGGGTTTTAGTCTTTGGTTCCATTTGCCAAGGTGCCATTTTGGTCCTATTTGAGCAGCCACATGAATGAGATGCGCTTTGAAGCCTCGGGGTAGCGGAGCAGCCTCGCCATGCCTGAGCTGAAGCTCAACGCGATCCCCAACCCCGCGGCTCCCCCCTGGAACATGACCGAAGAAAACGGGGGGCTCCTTGAAGGATGTGGACCCGATGGGTGTAATTCTGGCCCAAATGAAACAGATTGCCTCTGTTTTTTTGCCGAAATTCCTTGGGAGCCTCGCCGAAATATGGATCTTAGGCCCAGTGAAAGCCAAGGGAGCGAATCCCTATGTTACCTATGCTTCTCTTTTGGGTTGAAAAAGATCCTTTTTGTTGGGGTGATGTGTGGTGATCTGTGGTGATGTGTCGTGATGCGTCAAAGGAAACTCTACATCAATGCCACATCTTGCTCCATTTCCCATTGGGCATTTGCCATCGAGCGGCCTCGCAAACGACCCTTGAGCTCCATCTAGTGTCAAGTTTCGGACTCCGGCGGCCTGTACCAGAAACGGTTCTCTGAAAGGTGTCCTAGGGTGAGTCAGCGAAAAACGAAGGGTTCCTTGGGGCTTTCCTTTCGGATTTCCTTTCGGGTTTCCTTAGGGTTCCTTCAGGTTTCCTTCACTTGGTTGACGTTGGGTTTGGGGAGCAACAACACATAGTTTAGCAGTTAAGTGGTTGGATTTCAACCACTAAACCACAATATGCGGAAACATGTGTCCAATGTCTCCCAACAACCATGCTCAGGTGAGGTTCCTGGGACTCCAGGCCTTGGGATCGAAAGGTGAGAAGGGATTCCGCCACCGTGGCCTTTGGACAGTGAACCCAAATGGGACCCGGGCGCATGGGTCTGGACAAACATCTACCCATCACCCTTTTTGGTTCCTTTGTGCAGGGTAGGGGGTCTGGACAAATCAACACTGCCCATCCCACTTGTGGTTTCCTTTTGGGAAAAGGTGGACAAATCAACAACGACCCATCCTCCTTTTGGTCTCCTTTACACAAAGTACACTAACAGTGTTGGGCGATGTCGCACTCAGTTGGGAAGCCTTGGCCCAAGTTTGCCCCTCAAAGCCCACATCCTGAGGTCGACACAGTGGGAGAGGGCTTCATCATCGACTGCGGGCGGCGCAGTGCAAAGACCCTCTGAAGAATTTAAGGGGATGGATTGATCTGGAAACCGGTGCACAACGTCCATCAAATGTTTGTAAACCCTTCAAAGGCCGAACCAAAGACCAAGTCAAGTCCATGAGATTATCTCTTCGCGGAAACCAATCTCGCATCGGGCATGGCATGCGTCAACTCAAACATATTTCGGCACCAACCTATCCTTCTGTGTTTGGATCCCCACATCAGGAGTGCAATCCACCACGAAAACAATATGTCTAGTGATTTTTGTACCGTCGCCCCCGGGCAACCAGGTAGGCTAGCTAGTATACCCTCCTAAAAACAAGCATGGAACCTGAAAGAGGGTGTCTTCCAGCATTCCCTTTCAGGTTCCATTTTCATTGGAGGGGGAACTCACCCATTGCAACCCTCTTCGCAGCCGAATCTTCCGGAGTTGTGGATGGCGCATCCAATACCACGAATGGACCTAAGGACAATCTCTGCTGAAGAGTAACATGGAACCTTAAGAACCCTCATCCTCAGAGATCTCGTAGGAAACGAGGAAACTCTCAAATGGAGGGGGACTGCTACTCGGGGTTCCCTGTCAATCTGAGGTGCCAGTTGTGAAACCCAACAGCCCCATTTTCTTTTGTGTGAAGCCTCCGATTCTTAAATGTTGGCTCTGAACCACTGAGGACTTCCTCATCGACACGCGCCTTCACGACTGGATCGAGAGGACGAGGGGATTCTTCCCGTTTCGGGCAAACACCTCCTGTTAATTACTCCGCCACATTTATTAGAGTAAAGGATTCCCTCTTGACTGTTAACTGGTCATCCCCCCATTGAGACACCCAGGGCTTATGAATCCTGGGTTCTCATTTGCCCACGGATATGCCGCCTCCGAAGCCGCGCCGCCGCGGGCCCCGGTCGAAGCGCTGTTGGCCAAAAAAGACTTCCCTGACGCATTCGCTGTGCGCGCGCCCCCCAGGGCCCCAGTCAGGTTCCATGTTGGAGGGTGGGAGCGTATATCCATGTTCGTTGAATTCTCGAGGCCACTTCAATGGAGTCTCAACGCTGAGAGTAATAGTTCCGCAATCTCAATCCTCTCCTGGTTGGGGTGGCCGCATGAATTGAAAGATCTTCTTGTCATGAGACAAGAGTCATTGGTTGACTTTGTTGATCCATGCGATGTTGTCGGTCTAGCAGCCAAGCTACAGCCAACGGCACCATCGCATTCATGAGCTTTTAAGGTCACAGGGTTCCATGTTAGGCTGCAGGGAGTATTCAAACCCATCGGGCTGAAACCCACAGCGCGCCTGAGTTTCGATAAAAGTTCCAGTCGAAGCTGACCGTGAAATCCCAACGGAGTCTTTCTTGAAGGAACCCGAGACTGATTCGGAGCCAGTGGTCAAGCGTCCTTAAATGGCAACCAAAGTGAATAAGTGAATGTAGATATTGGGGATACCGCGCGGTTCACGTTGTTGTGGGGTCTTGCAATGTGGACATTTGACCAAATACAAAAAAACAGACTTTCGGTTTTCATTTGGGCAGCCTTTTAAACTAACATGCAAAGGGGTCTACGTGTGGCGAGCCTCAACCCTGCCTCCATAGGGAACCTCAAAAGCGGTTAGTCATAGATCCCCACCTAAATGACCAAAAAAGGGTTCCCAATCCAAGGGTTCCCAATCCAAGGGTTCCCAATCAAAGGGTTCCAATCAAAGGGTTCCCAATCAAAGGGTTCCCAGCCAAAGGGGTCCCAATCAGAGGGTTCCCAATCAAAGGATTCCCAATCAAAGGGTTCCCAATCAAAGGGTTCCCAACCAAAGGGTTCCCAATCAAAGGGTTCCCAATCAAAGGGTTCCCAATCAAAGGGTTCCCAATCAAAGGGTTCCCAACCAAAGGGTTCCCAACCAAAGGGTTCCCAATCAAAGGGTTCCCAATCAAAGGGTTCCCAATCAAAGGGTTCCCAATGAAAGGGTTCCCAATCAAAGGGTTCCCAACCAAAGGGTTCCCAATCAAAGGGTTCCCAATCAAAGGGTTCCCAATCAAAGGGTTCCAATCAAAGGGTTCCCAATCAAAGGGTTCCCAATCAAAGGGTTCCCAATCAAAGGGTTCCCAATCAAAGAGTTCCCAATCAAAGGGCTCCCAATCAAAGGGTTCCCAATCAAAGGGTTCCCAACCAAAGGATTCCCGATCAAAGGCTTCCCAACCAAAGGGTTCCCAATCAAAGGGTTCCCAATCAAAAGGTTCCCAATCAAAGGGTTCCCAATCAAAGGGTTCCCAATCAAAGGGCTCCCAATCAAAGGGTTCCCAACCAAAGGGTTCCCAATCAAAGGGTTCCCAATCAAAGGGTTCCCAACCAAAGGGTTCCCCATCAATCAAAGGGTTCCCAATCAAAGGGTTCCCAACCAAAGGGTTCCCAATCAAAAGGTTCCCAATCAAAGGGTTCCCAATCAAAGGGTTCCCAATCAAAGGGTTCCCAATCAAAGGGTTCCCAACCAAAGGGTTCCCAATCAAAAGGTTCCCAATCAAAGGGTTTCCAATCAAAGGGTTCCCAACCAAAGGGTTCCCAATCAAAGGGTTCCCAATTGGTCAAATGATGCCCACCAAGCAAATCCCCGACCCAACTTCCGACCGACGCTTGCTTCCCTGCCTATCAAAGCCTGGCCGCTCTCGAGCGCCTCAGCTAGCTCCGATTGGGGAGTTGGAGCAACCCTAAAGGCTGTCTGGTTTCTTCACTTCCTGACCTGTGCCCACTGAACCAGGCAGAACCCCCCATCCAAAAACATGGCCAAAAGTTTTGGGTGTTCGATTGGGGCTCGAATTGTTGGATTGGTTGGCTTGGTTGGCGTGGTCGGTTGGTTTGCTTGGGTTGGTCGGGTTGGTCGGTTTGGCTTGCTTGGTTGGTTTGGTTGGCTTGGTTGGTCGTTTGCTGGTTGCCTCGTGATTGTTGTCGTTGTCGTTGATCTAGTCTTCCCGTCGTCCCAGGGAGTGTGCACCCATTCCTTGCACCCTCGCTGCCTTCGCCGTCAAGCGACTTGGAGGGTTCCGTATTGTTCCCCTTCAAACGACTCCTGGGAAGACACTAGCTCCAAAAGGCGATGCTTTAACCAACCAGAAGCCTCCGGCAACCACACAGGCTATTCAAAGGCCCCGGCCCGCAAATGCACAGGACCAAGCAGCAAACAACTAAACACATTCCAACCCCACAGAACTGTGAGCCCAAAGCTCCAGTGATAGCAAGCGCTGGAGGTCTGCGAGCCCCGAATGAGCACAAAAAAAGGGCCTGCTGCCCTGCTTCCAGTTTGGTTTTGGAGTCCGTTGAGTGACATCCTCAAAATTATCCTCTGGAAGGTGGTTTACAGGACGACAAAAACAAATGAGCCTCTCAACCTTGTGCAAAAGAGAGTTTCGGAACTCACTTCCGGCATAACCCTCCCGCGCCTCGCTGCGGCTCCTAGCGTCGTGGTCGGTTCTGGGGAACTAAACATGCACCAACATGACCCTGCCAACGCGAGCCTAACATGACTTCAGAGATGACAGACATCGGGTGCCCTTCTTCGGGGTGTGTGTCAAAACGGACGGCTTGGCTTTCTGTAAGGTTCCCTTTAGTGTTTACCACACAACGGTCTTCCCCAAAAGTAAAACAACGTGAGCCTAGCACCCAGCATGGACAAGCAGCCTTTCACCAATAGATCAGGCTTTCGCCAAACAGGTCTGCGGGCTCAAGAACTACCTGGAATCTCCGTTGGACCCTAATGGGCTCGCAACCTCTTTATTTTGGGTCAATCTGTAAATGTTACTCCTGCGTCATGGGATTTTGTTTGTTTTACCCCGGGATCGGCGGAACTCCTCGAAACCCAGAAAATAGGCAGATCTACCTGTGCTGGAGAGGCAGCTCAGTGAACCACCAACGCTCCTGTTTTGGAAGAAAGCGGCCTGTTGGGCGGCCCGGTGCGCTGCGGTTTTCCCCCCAACTCTTGGCTTCGGGTGCTCGATGGTGTAACAATGGGCTTCGACAGGTGAAAGTCGTCCAACAGCTGGGAGGGCACCATTTCGCTCCCCCCCTTTAATAACTAAGCGCATCTCAGTGGACAAATCACATTCAATATGTGAAACATGCCTCAAGAAAGGCTTGGTCCAGACGACCCCGTGCAACAAGTAATTGGAATATGTCCTTGTTTCTTGAAAACCCATTTGACTTAGAAATGGATACCCATTTGAAAAGGAGCTCCAATGTAACTCCTGATACGAGAAATCAGGTTATTTTGTTGGTTTCACAAAATGCAGGCCCCACGGTGTGCAGCTCTCCTCTTAAACATACGAAGTTCAAAGATGGTGGTGTTTCTTAGGTGTTCCTTTACGCTCACCCCACAAAAGGTACCAACTACAAAACAAGTTTACTACCTGCTTCTCACTTCGCGAGTGGATTGGCCAGCAAAAGTCCAAAAGTTTAGTCCAGGAACGCTGGGAGGGAGGCTGTGGCTTAGCCCTTCACCAAAACCCATACTGTTTCTGCCCATATCTAGTGGACCTTCGGATTTCTGTTTTTTAAAACTTCACAAGACTGGGCTGCCCTCAGATCCCCCGCCAAAAGTGACTAACTTTTAGTGGGTTAAATGGAACCTACCACTAAACACTAAGGAATCGGAGGGCTGGGAGCCACCAAGAAGAGACCTCCGTGTCGGTCAGCTTCTCTTGCGCCTCCCGTGCTTCCCGCTGCCGGGGCGCGTTGAAGAAGTCGGCCCAGGCATCGTCGCCTGCAAAGAGGCGAACCGCACGAAGCGAGTGGAGCCGATCCCAACGAATCCCGCGCCTTTTGGCATCATGTGACCTGTCCGTTGGGGTACAGAAGGAGTTGGTCCCCTTAGTGTCCCTAGAGAATACAGTAATACTGTGCCATATATGCCATATTCACTCACAATCATCCCAGATGTAGGTCACACCTGGACCTTCCGGGGGTCAAACATTTTAGGCGTTGGCCACAAAACACATGTTTTTGGTTGTTGGCGTGAAACATGTTTTTCGGGTGGACAAAAACGCCGACGGTCATATATGTTTGCGCCGGAGTCAGGAATGTTCGCCTGTTTGTCGGGAATTTTTGCCAGTAGATTTGGGGAGATTGCGCTTCACACCCTAAAAGGCCGTAGGCAAAAAACATGCGCATTTGCTCCAAAAGCCAATTCGTAGCGAAAAGGCGGACATTTTGAGCATGCATGAAGGTCCAGGTATCCATTACTGGGTCATATATGGTCATGTATTCCAGGATCATATTACAATCATCCCAGATGTAGGTCATTTATATGGTCATATAGACCAAGATTTGCTGATTTGGAGGGTAAAGGTGGGTGAATACTGTGGATGGCTGCGAAATCCATTTCGCACCACCGTTCCTTTGTAAGTACCAACAAACAATGGTTTCCCATGATTTGAAAGTGGTGCAGGATTTCGTCCATCAACAGTATTCACCCACCTGTACCCTCCAAATCAGCCAATCTTGGCATATATCACCATATATGACCTACATCTGGGATAATGATTGTACGCTGAACGTCAAGTAGAACAGCACATCTTATGTGATTCACCTGAACGTTCCCCGCCTCCAAACTTTAACAAACAAAAAACGGCTTCCTTTTGGTCTGGAAAGGAGCATGTTTCGACTTGCCAGGGGAAGCTGAAGTTCTTCTCACGCCGAAAAGACCAGGCACAAGGTGCGACTTTTGATCCTGGGACCAGACGGGGATAGATCCTCCAGCAAAACGCTTAACCTTTTGCTGGTTAAAAGGCAAGACGAGGGGAATCCAAAATGTCAAAGTCTAAAGATCCAACCCAATAGCAGTAGAGCAAAGAGTCATCTTCTGAGTTCATTTGCCGAACATCGCGTTGATCCGAATCCCCAAACTTGGAAACAACACTAACAATGTATTGAGCGAATCCAAATCCTGGGTTGCGCAAGGGCCCTTCATTGCGGGCACGGGATCGTTTTACCCCAAGTGAGGTTCCGGGAGGCAGAATCCTCAACGTGCGCTGTGCATTCTATGGTGGAGCGGGGGGTGCCAAAAACTCCTGTCAGCCTCAGGATGTATCCGAAATAGGAATAAACCACACGTGGTTGGTCTCAGTCGCATTCCGTGCACGCTGAACGAAACAAGGCCTGAGTGCTTCCACAGCGGATGTTACTACTTTGAGGAATCCTCATGGTCGGCTCACCCCAGCATGGGATCAGCCAAAACCCACTTCGGTTATGGGTCAAGTGGAAAGTAAACGTCACCAAGACCACTTGTTGATCCAACACTTGTGAAGGCTGACATGATCCCGCCCACTTCGGCCTGGTGTCCTTTCAGGACTTGGATGTACCCACTTAAGCCGCATGAGCGTTGTATTGGGGGGAAGTGAGGAGTTCGCCTCCCCACCACCATGGTTATCGCTGATCTACTTAAGTGGCTTGAAGATCCACTAGGTCCAGTAGAGAGGTTAGAATAAGGGCACCAACTTTTTTCCTGTAGTTTATCTTAGTAGGGGAACCCTCCCCCAACAAAGTGGGTAAAAGTTGGTGCCTAGCTGGGGGACCTGGATGGTTGTCTACTTCGAACATCCAAGCCGCCTGTCCGCTAAAAGTGAATCACCTTTAGTGAGAAAATTGGAAACTACCAAACACCAAAAGGCTAAAAGGCTAAGTTGAACCGGATGCCTGGGCTTGCCACCAAGCTTTTGCCTTCGCTTCGGGCCCTCTCAACTGGCCCCGGCCTGCGCCCTCGTCTCGCGTCTTGTCGGGGCTCTTCTCCGCCAGGGTCTTGCCCTGTCGCCACAGGATTCACCCGACCGTTGCCCCCTCCAAGTCTTGGTGGACGTTGGAAGGGGAGCATGTGTTTTGTGTTGCTTGTTTTTGTGTTTTTTACATGTTAGCAGTCAGGTTTGCTTCCAACCACTAAACCACTAAACCACAACAAGAAAGAATGTGACAATGTTTCTCAACAACAACCATGAAGTTCCCCTGTTGTGTCCCCAAAAATCATTTTGGTTCTCCGCTGCCCCGTCTGCCCCACCTTTCCCCTACTTGTCCCAAGTCGCCGGGTGGATCGAGATTCCGGGCAATCAGTGGTGGGTGGGTTGATATTTGGGGCTTGTCTCAACTTGGTGCGATAGGAAGGGAATGAGAAATGGAAAATGACCCCAAACAACACCATCTCTCATTAGTTCCTTTAAGGGAATCCCCCTCCGGTTCATTCCCAAACCCTGGCTCATTCCCCACTGAGCACCAGCAAGTTAAATGGGAAACCCCGAAATGGGTTGATTTTCTTTCAGCTGTAGGTAACAAACCCGAGCCACACTCTCAGCTGCAAACGAACCTAATCAACGGCCATCTGGTGATTCATTGGTGGCAAGTTTTGAAATGCGGGCTTGCAGCCAGGCTCTCAGTTGAAAGCAAATACTCACAAGCAGCAGCCCTCCTCGCACGAAGCATCTTGCTTTCCAAGATGGTTCACAATTCTCGAAGTGGGGGGCCCCTTTTTGCATGGTAAGGAGACCCCCGAGGAAACAAACCATTGTCACATGAAAATATGTCAACACACCTGAGGCAACTCAGTTCCATACAGATTGAGAGCGGGGTCGAGTACTTTCAATACGAGCCCCGCACCAAACGTAGATTCGAACAAACCCACGTAATATTGCAACCATGGTTAAGGAGTTTGATTCCCCATCCTTTTCAACCATTGTTCTTTCCAAAAACTAGAAAGATGGATCCCTGTAAAGAATGGGGAAGGTACCCCTAGAGTTATAAGTAAGGCAACCAATTAATTCAAGTAATCCCAGCCTTCGCCATGGCTACGACCCACTTACCTGACGCATGTGTGTTTTACATCAAAGTGCGGACTGCAACTCAGCCCACATCTGTATCTGTTCAGATCCTACTTCATATCTCGTCCACCCAAAAAATAAAACAAGCTATTTTGACCAAGCTTGCTTGGTCCTCTCCAATCGGATTCCCCTTCCGCGCCTCCCAGGCATCCGAGCCAAGCTGGCCTCGATTCGAATCCGTGCCCGCGGAAGCCTTCGAGTCTGCCGAGGCCCCCTTGGTTACCTACTACAGAGCAGAGAAATGGAATCACCGGGTACACTGTCTAATAGTAGACCAAATGAACCAATTGAAAACCACGGGAAAAAGAGGTAAACAGGGGACCTCAAGTAAAAACATGTGGAAGCCCGATCTAATTACCCAATTGTCCCATCGTAAACAAACATTGGACAACTACAACGTATCCAAACACAAATCCCGACATTCGAAGCGAGCTTGTCATGCAGACTCAAATCACAATCACGTGGCTGTCAATCCTGCAAAAGAGTGTGTTAAGAATTCTGTTGTTTATATAAAACATTTTGAACTATATGATCAATTCCATATTATATGTATTGCAATATACACAGAACGACGAAGAATGAATTGAGAGAGAACGGACAGAGGCTAAGATATTGAAGGATTGGCACACACATACTTATTATTGCAGTCACAAAGCTAAACTAAACACTTCGAATAGAAACAAACACTACAACACATTGTAGTGAAGATGGTTGGGTTTACTCGAAAAGCACACTTTAAAGGTAATCGGAAGATGAAGACCACAACGCCGATGATCAAAGGGTTGAATTTACAGCGTGTCTTGATGTGATGCTCTTGGATTCTTAGTTGGAATGAAGCAACTTTTAGGTATCCAAAGGACCCATTTGAAAACCCAAAGGTTCAAGTACCTGTTTGGGAGCCTTAGGTTCCTGACGTAGAACGCTACAGGAATTTGACATAGTCTAGCCCCAAGCACCCGCCAAAATCAGGAGGGGTGGCCAACTTCCAGATATCATCACGGCAGCTGACGAAGTGACACATGTGAGAGAAAGGAACAATTATGTTGGACATCAACCGCTTATGGTCGCCCCGAAAAGGTTCGGAGTGCCCCATGCGGCAGCTTAACTTCCAAGGTTCGCAGGGCCATCCACATGGACATTGCTCGGGTTCTGCGTGGATATCCTTTCTGAAACAATACTCGTGAGATTGCGGGTCAGGAAAGTCCCAAATAGACAGGTGCCACATAGGTCATATGGCAGCAGGCGAGGGCACGTGGCTGGGGTGAAAGGCTTCTGCTTGGAGCACATCTGGGGTAATTACTCCAAACATGAGATGTTAACAATATTTCCTGTTTGTCAATCCAAAAAATATGGCTAACTATTCGTGGAGGAGACCCCAATTTGGGCTTGCGCATTGTTGTATTACAGGGGACATGCATGCAACTGGCTGGTGATTGGAAATCCTCCCGTTTGCCTGTTTGCTCGGTTGCTCATTTCAGACCCCCTTTTGGCAAAAGGAAACAGCTTCTTTTTTCCTCAAACTCGATTTCGGATGAAAAGGACACCAACCATGTTTGTCACTTTGGGAACCGAAATCTATTTTTCAGAAGCCCCCACCTCATTTCGGATTCGCCACGGCTGGATCGCACGCGAGAACTGGCGAACTCCCTGGCCTGGTACCTGCGGCTTAGCCTTGACAGGCACCTGCTCCTCACCGTGGGGATAAGCGCCACTGGGGTTGGTGGGTTTTTGTGCCCCGGAGGTGAGACTTGCTTTTCGCCCCCACGAAATGGCTACGAAAAGTTCGTAAACAAACACAATCTAGGAGGTCTATAACCCCAATTCTGACCAAACAGAGGTGCCCAAGAGGTGTGAAACATGGATTAGTAAACATTGAGTATGCGTGGTTTCCATCTTTACACAAGTTTCCACGTGACTCTTAGTTGCCTCTGACCCTGGCAGGCAGGCAACCCTTTTTTTGGGGTGGATCATTCTTAGTGGGGAACCCATCAAGCGAAAGAGAGGTAAAAGGGTGCTAGTCACTACGTGCCACTGAACAATTTGGGATGAATCAACTGCTTGAACTAGTTTCAACACGACTAAGCAGGGGGGTTGTCACAATGAGGGACTCGTTTTGGTATTCCTTTTGAAAGGAGTGACAAGGTGGCATCGGGATCCCAACAAGAGCCACAATTATCACCCTCGCCCCCAAGAAACAAAGAAAGGTGTGCAAAAATAAAGGGGACCCTAAAACTAATGGTTGTCCTTTTGCCCTCATGTAAAACCCACCTTAAAGCGGGTATGACCAACAAAAACACACACACACACACACACACACACACACACGCACAAAAGCAACCAAGAGTGCGACAAATGTGTCAGCCGCTCTCGCGGCAAGTTGCAGGTTTCTCGCCTGAATGCACTTTTGTTCAGCCAAATCCCGGCGACCCAGGGCGCGATGCGGGTTTCAACCAGCGCCTCAAAATGGCAGGAAGAGAGTCCAAACAAACTGCACAAATGGCGAATACGCAACAGCACCCTGGGGCGGTTTTTCGCAACACTGATGCCAGGATGGAAAGACTTCAGCACTGGAAACCAGTTCCACTACAGGACCAAGCAAAGGGCCAAGACAGTGACCCAAAAATATTAACACAACACGTTGCACATAAACAAGGGGCACTATTCACAGTGGCCCCCTTTGATGGGTATATCAGTTTTGGGTTCCCTATCAGAAGCGAGCATATTGTCGCGATCGGCAAAAATCGAACCAGTGCGTCCACTGACCTTGGTACAGGGGTGCGCCAAAGACGTAGAAACGTGGCCTGGAAAGGGAACAAAAAGCCCAATATAACTTTCCGCAGTAAGGGTCTAAATAATCAGAATGACATGTGGGGTTTAAAACCAAAATCAGTTCTGATTCTATGAGTTCTCTAGTACTTACTTAGCCTTCTACATTACACCTGTGGTTTGGTCAGTTTCGTCATTTGGAGGTTTGCTCCAGCGCTGCACCGCTGCACGTCCTTGTCCAATTCCTTGCCAGTCTTCGCCTCGGGGGACGGCGGCCGCTGCGTTTCCGGCTTCCCACATGAGTCACAACCAAAACCCAGTATTAAAATGGCTGACCCAGAACCATGCAGGGAAATACAAAGGCGGCTGCAGCTATTTTTGGCTTGTCCCCCTACCCTGCATCTAGCCGGGTTTTGATTGTGGCTCTAATGACAAGAACCACGAAGTGCTTGGCCCATTTGGGACAAAGTCACAGGCTCAACTTGTGGGACCCTGATTGCTGGAGAGTCTTTGGACCAAGTTGTCCCATCTTTTCTCTAAAACCGTGAGTGTGCCTATGCGAAAAGCAAGTTGGCCCCTCTCTTGCCAAAACTGCAATGACTCCAAAGCACCTCCAAGTAGTTGCCCGTCGCAGGTTAATACCTTTTTCGACACCCGGATTGTTGGCACTGATCCTTCTTCTAGGTCCTCCAGTAGAGAGGGTAGAATAATTTGGAGCCCGATTTGCTTCTCTTTTGTCTATTTTAGTAGGGGAACCGAATCTCCCAACCAAAAAGGGGTAAAAGAGCGGGCACCAATTGCTGAGGGACCTAGTCTTCCAGGCAAGGAAGCTGATCGAAGGGTTTTGTAGCCGCGCATTCCCGCGTTCTGTTTCTTGATTAGTGGTCTTAAACACAGGCTGATGGAGTTCCCAAAAGGGAAACATCCTAAGGTTTTGTCCACCTTGGGGTACACCATAAATGCGGCAGTGTTTTATGAGGGTACCCTTTTTGGCTCGGTTCAAACAAACACCAAACCCCATTGCAACACATCGGTGTGTCCAGGTCCCCCTTTCAAAACCACACGTTTCCCCGCCTTTTGGGGTCTCATCATGGATTTCGGACCCCTTTTGGCTGGTATTCAAAGAGAAACCAAAAGGTTTAACTCACCATAGTGGTCGTGGCCGTTGGGCATACCCAAATGGGTTGCGATTTGCCTTTGGTTTCTTTTTCATCCACAAGGGGTACCAACTCAGAAAAGGAACCGCATCCAGGTGGCGAGTCGTCACCAAAGACCAGCCTCCCAGTTTCTGGCTGGGGCCGCGGCCGTGCCGTCCAACCACCTGCGCCCGGTTCTGAAATTTGGGTACCAGCCTGCGGGGTGCCCTTTGGCTTACCTAACCCCAAAACGAGTAGCCTCACCCATCTGAAATCAGTGAGTGGAAGCGTCGCTGCCATCCATTCGCAGTCACCTTTCTAATTCCAAGAATAGCCGGGGTCCAACACGCGCAGCCAGAAGCTCGTTGTGCAAGCAGTTTGGTGAGACCCACATGCTGACCCCGGATTCATAAACCTGGCAGATTAATGACAGTCCCTGACACCATGGCCGCTCCGAATCAACCAAGACTTAATGAAACCTGGGTTTCCGTTGTTGGCAAAGGGATTGCAGAGGCAACTGTTCCGCGGGAAACATGCAAACAAACATGGGAGAAACATGCTCGCTTGGAAAACAAGGGTGGCGCTTGATTAATTAGTACCAAACTACACTCCCTCAACATGGAAGCTTTGAGACAAATGGAACCAAGCCTTAAGGGCTTCTGGGGAAAAAAACAAAAAAAAACAAACAAACATCGGAATGCACACATTTTCTGATACTCGCCCAGAAGGGGCGTGGAAAACAGAACAAGAAGCGTGGAAAAAACACAAAATGTTCCCATGGTCCAAAACTCACGCCCCTTTCGTGTTTTCCACGCCCCAAGTCTTAAGGGGTCCTGAATATCCCAAAGGCGTCGGAAAACCCACCACCCCGACGAACCAGCCGCCTGCTCCGGGTGGCCTGGTTGGCCTGATTCGACTTGCGGGCGACTCGAGGTCTGGGTCACGACGTGTACGTAGCTATGCACGCACGCAGGTATCTATCTAATAGATCTATCCATCTATCCTACCTGTCCTGTCCTGTCCCATCCTATCTTATCTCTCCTATCTATTTGTCTATCTATCGATTCTATCATGTCATATTTCTATCTAGATGTATATATATATACCTATGGTGCGCCCCTGGAGCTCAGGTTGTTGTTTATCAACTATACCTCATATTGGAAACATGCCGGTCAACTACGCCTGCTCCGCCATCAAATTGATGCTTATAGAAATTGCACCACTTTTTGTGCTGCCTTTTTGGTCAACATCCTGAGGGTAACCCGGGATTTGCTAGCACATGCTAGAACATCCTGGATTGAAGTTTAAAGGTTCCCTAGCAAATGCCTTAGAAGAATCTTCAAATACATGCTTAGGGCAATCCAGGATGAGCTTACTGGCAACCCCCACCAAGGATGGGGGCCGCAAAGGCAGGACAAACACCCTCCCGTTTCCAAGCATCCATGTAACAGACACGAGCTGGTTTCTCCGGAAGTTCCACCCACAGCGATGCTCTGGTACCTTTTCCAGACAACGATGGATGAAAGACATGGGTAAGCAACGCCTACACATAACTTGACCGGGTCCAAGTTAAAATCCTCCATATGCCACCCGAACTCTACGTATGTTGTTTGTGTTGCTCTCAATATGACACCCCTAAGCGAACTCCTTACTCTACATTCTGCTTGCTTTCAGTGCCGAGACTCCATAAAGGAACCTGCTCAAAACTGACAGGATCCGGGCTTCTGGGGCCCGAGAACATCCGCTTGGAACCCTGCCACGGTTTGTGGTTCGAAGCCCAAGAAAGATCACAATGTGTTGTGGACTGTGGCTTTGTGCAATTTGGCATCTTTCAACTTGGCATCGTCTGTTTGTCGGTACACACACCTGGTCTGCGGTAGAAATCCTGTAGATTGCCAGGGTATGTGGTTGGAACTTTTAAGAGACCATGGTGTGTGGTTGCAAACTTGCATTTTTCCCATGGCTTGTGGCTGAATTCCAGTGAACATTCATGGTGTGTGGTTGGAAATCTGTAAACTGCTGGGCTTCAGTGCTTGCAACCCTGTAAACTACAATGGCTTGTTGTCGAAACCCTCTGAATTGCCATGGTTCGTACCTGGAAGCAGGCACGTATCATGGTTGGTTAGAATCCTGTACCTTTCGAGGCTGAATCCCTTTGACATTGCCCCTGTTTACTTGCTTCTTGCTTCATTTGTTGCTATCAAACTAAATTGTTCAAAACAAATGTGAGTGTGTGCGTGTGTTCAGGGTACACATTTGAGGGTGGGTTGAAAGGAAAACCATCAGGAAACCCACCATATTGGATTCCCCTATCCTACAACACACCTGCAAACAAATGAGCTGCCGCCAAAAGCCTTGTGCGCGAAACTGGAATATCTCTCAAGCCTTCGTTTTTGGGGGTGTTGGACCCTATTCCACTCCAATGCATATCCCTTGTTCCGACTCTTTTGGTCTCGGTTGCTGTCTGCTCCCCTGGTAAAGTGACTAACTTTTAGTGATTTCATGGAAAACATATATAGTTGGCGAAAAGTAAAAGTCCTAACATCCAAGAAAATGCACCAAAGTATCGCTTGTTCCGACTCTTTTGGTGGTAGCTCAAATGCTTGATGTTGACCCAGGATTAATAAACTCGGTCCAGTATTAGGGGGTGTTCCCTCCAAAAGTGGTCTGAATCCCCACTAAAGGGGACACCCCCCTATTAATCCACCAGGGGTTCTGCTTAATCCGGGGTTCACATGTTTCATCAAAACATGATTGAAGTTAGGCCCAGTTATAGAATGTATAGTTTATTGTTTGCTTCAATCTGAGACACTGGCAAAATGCAAAATGTATCCCAAGTCTACCCCAGAAAAGTTCGCGATCAACTTCCCCACCGAGCTCAAACCCCAGCCTGGCTCGCGTCCGAAGACATGGCGGCCAAACCGCGTCGGATGCAGCAACGAGGTTCGCGGGGAAAAAAAAGGGGGAAAAAGAAACAAAAAAAACGGGATGTTGTGTGGGTTTCATAAATAGGTGGTAAGCTCATACTAGAATGTTTGTGACATGACATCTAAACGCTTAGTTGTTTTTATGTGACTCTACAACAGGTGTGAATATTGGTATATAGTTTCTATGCAGCCTGACACCGAAGCCTAAACGACCCGCGTTGTGAACCACCACATAACCACCACAACAACAGAAGCCACTACACACCTTGGTATTACTGTTACACATATATATATATATACATATGTGTGTGCTCACGTATCTATTGATATATATATATATATATGTGTGTATCTACACTGTAGCGTACGTATAAGTGTGTATCACGAAATGATGTTGCTATTCAGACAGATTATGTATGCAAACCATGTAGACTAAATACATATTGTGTGATTGATAGAATGATTTTGACCTTCAACATATGTGATTCGCTGCGCCTTGAATGGACTGTGTAGACAACCCCTTCTGCTGAATTCGGCCCCGTCCGTCCGTCCGGTATATCTTCGACTTGAAAAGGTATGGCTGACGATCCATGCAGGCTACGCTAGCCTCAGCCTTCAAGCCTGCGGCAGCAGTCCACGTGGGAAGGATTCTACAATAGGGGACCCTTTCTCAGATGTCCAGTGGCCATGGGAAAACAAGGGCATCCTTCTTTGGTTGGTTGAGGTTAAAGGGCCCAAAGAAGGGGAAAGGGCGCCACTGGGCAACTAGGCTTTGGCGGAGATCATTTGGGTGGGGATTCATGTCCCGCCAACCACCTGTGAGGCGGAAGCCTGCAGAGCGAAGTGCTGGAATTGTATTCGGGGATACTGGTTTAGCCATTCCCAAGCAATTCTCCAGGGAAGCAGCATTTCCCTGCTATCGTAGTGGTTGCAAATGCCACCTCATTCCTACCGCCCTGGGGTGAATCACAGGCAATACAGTAAGATTGGCTAGTACTAGGCTATGCTTCTCCCAGAGGTAGCGGTCGCAATATTGTTCACCTCCTCTTTCGCATATCATGCAACACATCCACTCTCCCCTACAACTCATTTGTTCCCGTTTAGCCAAAACCTACATGCAACATGTGGCCATGATTTCACGGGATTTGTTCAACCCAAATGAGCAGCGCCCAACACGCACTGAGCTCTGGGCTGCCCTCAGATCCCCTGCTAAAAGTTTAACTTTTAGTGGGTTAAATGGAAACTACCACTAAACCCTAAAGGCCTAAAAGGCTAAGAGGACGGCTGGGGGCCACCAAGGGCTATGAGGGATTTTGTTTTAGACCTTGCAACAATTGTGAAACACAGTAGTAGAACCACCTACTAAGCTGACCAACGGGGACTGATCAAACGGAAGGGTGCCCCCCCCACGCACGGCGTTTGTTAGGTCTTGAGGGTGCAGTGGAAGAAGCTGCGAGCCAAAAGCAGTCCCAGTGGTTTGCGGGATTGGACCAACCGCTGACTTTCATGCCTTGAGCTCACTGGGTTCTCTGTTTGTTACCGCTTGCCAATTTGAGGTGAGTTTCATAGGGTGATGTGGAAAAATGGAATGTGTCAAAATGGGTCGACACCCCATGGGTGATTTCCTTTTGGTTGTCCCTTCAACCTGAAGAGTGCCAACTCAAAAGAACACATATTCAGAACCCCCGGTCCATCTCTCATCTCTTCTTTGAGCAACCGGCCTGGCGGCTGTCAGAGTTAGGGACACTCTGGTCCTTTTGCCTTGGACATCACCCTAAGGAGAGAACAATGCATCTCAAGTTCGGCCAAGATGCGATGCTTTAGACTCACCCAACCGGGCAATATCGGGAAGCCTGTTCCATGGGAAGAAAGGAGGTCTTGACTTCCATTTCCTTAAGCCCCCTGGAAAAATATGTCCAGTAGTCGTAGAGTCCCTTTAAAACCAACAAGGGAAAATAAGTCATATTCATTCTTAAGCAAATGGAAGTTTTGTTGGCTGGTTGATTTTGAGGGGCAGCTCACTCAAAGGAGAACAGGAAATGCCCCGGTGGAGGTCTGGCCAAAGGTTGGCCAGCACAGAATCTGTGCAGGAAAGCCACCACAAAGGGGATCTCTTGCTTATCCCCAGGTAAGGATCTTGCGGATTGCCTTTGAACCGCCCGACCAAGGCACGCTCTCCTTCCAATGGCGGTGCTTTTTGCGGGAGTCCATAGGTGAAACTCAGGTTTGGGAGGCTGCAGGCAATCCTGGAGTCCGCCGCTTGACGTGCAATGCAGGGTGCAATCAGGTCTGCAGATACCTCAGGGGTCTAGTAACTCGAACTTCCATCTCACCTCGCATTCTTGATCATTGGTTCACCATTTTGAGACGCCAGCAAAGCTTCTTTTCGTCAAGCACGTGTGCGCACGCGGTGCAAAACACCGCACTGGGCGTTTTGCACCTGCACAAACATATATCTTCAAGTATTCGGCTTTGGTCTTGGCAATCCGCCGACCCCATGCCTGGTCCAGAATGGATCATGCTTTTGGCATGGGGGCGGTGTGTTCTGAGTTGCTTTTGTTGATATGTTTTCTATAGGTTTAATGTAAATATAATTATACATATATATATATATGTCCCTTGGGGCGGGAAAATACGTTCTCTGGATTTTTGGATCGCTGGATGTTTGGATGTCTAGATCTCTGGATCTCTGGACCGGCTGCGCACCTTGCGCGGAAGATCGTCCCCACATTGCCCTCCTCAAACGTGCAAGTTGAAGCTTCCAGCCTGCGGGGCACGCGCAAGCTCACGGGGACCCTGAACCGATCCCCCTTGAAAAAAAACAAAACTAGACGAGACCAAAACTGGAGCTGTGTTCAGGGGCAGGGGGTTGGTGGGAGCAGCGTTATATATATATGTGTATACATATATCAATATATATATATATATATGCATTCAAAAACAAATTACCAATGATTTCAAAACAGGGTTGTGGGAAATGACCGCTTCTGTGATACAACAAAAAGGGCCTAACCCCATTCCCTTGGAAACCACAGAAGTGGGGCCGGCCAAGCCCCTAGCCTTGATGCCACAAGGCTGGTTTTAAGTTGGTAGCCTCACAAAACGTTTGAAGCATCCATGGGTTTTAATGGTTTTTAGCTGGTGGGTTGAGAGTTTCCCATCGAGTTTCCATGGGTTTTAATGGTTTTTTGGATGTACATCCTACTTTTTCTTTCTTTACTCTGTTCACGCTCTTTGCTGCGTGAATCCACTGGTTGAGAATTCATCAACCACAGTCTCTTCTCGCCGCTCACCTCCCAACGACCAACCAGAGAATCCTGCCTGAAACCTCTTGATGCAAAGTCTAGGTCCTCCAGATTTGAGAGGTTAGAATAAGTTGGTGCCCGATGTTTTTCTGTTTTGTCTATTTTAGTAGGGGAACCCTCCACCAAAAAAGGATAAAAGGGGCTCTACTGCGGACCTAGTTCAGTAGCAGGGGAACCCTCTGATTGGCATGGTTCTGATGAATCCAAAGCAACTATACTCCCTGGCAAATGACTCGCGAAACCTGCAAACAATGACAGCTCCCTACGAGGATCAGGCGAGAAACAAATTGTTTACTTTGTGAAGCGTGCTGCAGCGGGTGTGTGTGTGTGTTTCCAAACACAGGCGATCGTTCTCCTGGTGAAACCAAAGAGCAACCAAAAGACGATCACGGAGTCAAATCCAATCGCGTCCAGGCCAAAACTGCGACCGCCTCAGGAAGCTAGTCTCTGACTTCCTACTTGCACACATCAATGGCCACACCGTGAAAAAACTCGTTTGCGGTGCCATTCAGGGTATAGATGTGGCCTTCGGGGCCCCGCCGGGTTTCTAAGAAATTGGTCCCGAGTGAAGGGAAACCAAAAGGGGGGCCAAACCAATTTGTCAAGACTTGTGTGTAATGATTTTGCTTTCAGAAGCTCCGAGCAACCCGAGTACATTATACATACTTACACTGTTGGAGGTCGGTACCCTCTCCAGTTCGGACTACACTCCCTGGAATTAAACAGCTAACATAGAATCTGTGCCAGGTGCCCCTCGCCACGGCAATCCTGGGGTTTCCCAAAACAACCCGAGATTCTTCGGGGGGCCGGTTTCGAGCCTGCACTTCCATGTAAACGAAAAAACGTGAGTGAACACACACGGTCTGACCGACGCAAGTGTCCTAACATAGAACCTGAAAATGGGCCCTGGTGCAGGCTCGCCGTTTTCCCTATTGATTTTTGGTGGTCAATAGGGAAACTATGATTATGTTAGGAGCAGTTTCGCATATCCCTGAGAAAAGTCGTGAAACGGCATTTCCCCGGTACGCTTAAAATTACGGTGTGTCCGCCCGCTAATGCTAAAAATTGCTGTTTCCGAGTCAATCTCACCCGCCCAGTCGTATCTTACGTAGGTGGGGTTCTGGGCCAGTTCTGGAAGGGGTGTGGGGGGGAGTTCAGTTTGTGTTGGGGGGGGGGAGTAGGGTTTTTGAGGGTTTGAGGGAGCCGTTGCCCAAACCATCGTCGGTTCTATGTTAGCATTTATCAAAAGCCTGGGGTGTTCCACTAACCTGCAAAAAAGTGTTTAAAAAAAGCTTCGGAGCTTCCTGTTTAATTCCAGGGAGTGTAGTGCCTTCAACACTTGTCCCTTCCCAAACAAGGAAAACAGGGTGCCGCCTGGCCTCGTCTTTCGAGGGTACCCTACATCCTCCAGTAGAGAGGTTAGAATACGCGTGCGTACCCTTTCTTCTGTGGTCTATTTTAGTTGGGGAACCCTCCCCCAAAAAGGGCAAAAGGGCGCAACTGGGGGACCTAGTACCCTATCTAAGGTGTGGTTTTATTTCGGACGCCCAGTGGAACGAACCACCTCTTTAAAAAGCGAGAATCCTATTTTGACGCACCCACTCAACTGGACCCTGCCTTGTGGAAGAGGGTCAGTTGCACATCCGTAAGAAGCGGCACGCTGAAGGATTGACTTCCCGCAGGCTGGCGGTATCCCTGCGCCTGGTGCAAATGGCGATGCAAACAGAATTGGATCCAGGGGTTTGGATCCCAAGGAAGAAAACCTTTGCAAACGGGTCCGATTTCTGAGCTGTACCCCCCCCAATCCTTCAGATCCTTTTGGGTGCAATCAAATTGAGCATTCGGCTCAAATTGGTGGAGCAGAATTGTGGCTCTTCCAAAAAGGGGGCAAGTTGTTTGCACGGATCCACTGCACCCCCCTACCAAATCCCCTACCCTCCCAAATCCCCTCCCCGTGCACTCCGACCCTCCCAACACTACTCCCAAACCCCAACACTACTCCCAACCCCGACTTATTCCCACCCCCCACCCCCCCCACAATTCCCACCCCGCTCCCCCACGATTCCCACCCCCTCAAGGTTTTTTAGACATCACCCAGAACTATGCCGCAGTATTTATGGCAAGGGGATCCTCCCATAACCTTCATCTGCCCTGATTGTGGCTCACCTCAGTGGCAGGGATCCTTACATTATACACCTGAATTGCCACGTAAATTGGCGTTGTTTCCCTTTATTTTGGTGTTGAAAAAGCCACATGTTTCAAGTGGTTGCAACATGAATTTCTTTTAAGGAGCCCTCAGGAAACCGAGCTTCTAGCAACCCAACCGGGGCCCCCATCTGCCTGGCACGAGCCCTCCACAAAGTGCAGCGCCACCAGGGGCTGCTGGAACTTCCTGCACACCGGTCGACCCTTGCCACCGCCGCCATCGACCCCTGGTTGGCATAGGCGGCCGTTTGGAAAAATCCATGGGTTTCCCTGGTAAATGGGGCATAAACCCCATCTAAACCAGTGGAACCCATCTATTTTTAACCAAACTAACCTAAAAAGGACACCTATGCTTGTTGGTTGGGAAAGGGACACCGAATGGAACAAAATAAATCAGTCACCTCTACTTTGAGAATCCATGGTTGTGGGCCAAAACCCTTTCTATGAGATACCAAAGCGACATTCCCGTGCCCTTAAAACCTAATTGTCCACAGCCATGCCTTCTAATACTGTATAGATGGTCAATCCACAAACAGGGTCAAGATTGTGACGGTGCCCCCAAGTTTTGTTGTGGGGATATTTGGCGCGCTTCCTGTTTTGCTGTCAGACATTTAGTGAGTCCCCCCAATGTCCCTCCCAAATGGACCATAAACTTTTGGACAGTTTGATCAAAGCTCACATCGGGTCACGTGTTGTTTCTTTCCCCGTGGGCAAACGGAATTCTAACCTCTGCTAGCGCCATGTTTATAGCCTACTCAGACTTGGCACAACCCATGATGAAGGCTCGTTTCACAGGCGGTCCGGGCTGCGCTCAGGTATGTTGGAGGGCTGTTGGACGTCCAAAACTGCGAATGCCCTGAATGGTAATCACAAGCATTGGTGTCCTGTTAGAGCAAATAGATGGCCCTGGTAGATGATGAAACCACCAGGTAAACCAGGGCCATCGGTTTTTCCACCAAAACAACCAAAAAGGACACCTATGATCACACACGAACCACCGGGTTGCTCCGATGAAGGGAAACCAAGAGAAATACGTCGCCTATTTGGCCATGGGTCAAAAGCCAAATCGTAGCCCCAGTGAACATCCCAATCCAACCACTAACATAGACTACAATGGGTGGTGCACCTACCCCAAAATGGTACCATAGATTTTAACCCACGGCCAATTTCAAGTCTTGAGGTTGCCTTTTAAAGGCCAGAGGAGCACCCAGGCTTCGTTCGAACTGGTACCAGCTTTGCCTGCAATTTGTAATCAGAAGAAGGGCCACTCACTCTCATCAGGCCCTGGTCGGGAGGTGAATGTTAAGACTTTTATGAATGAGCCCAGGGGGGCAAAAGGCAATAGCAAATGGTTCATATGCGGACATGCGAATTAGCGTGGGCAAACATTCTCGCATAGGGGACTCCTTGTTGCTCGGCTCTTCAAGGGACATCAAAAGCAAACAACCAGTTTAAGAAGTCCCTACATTAGGAGACACCCACACTATGGGTGTGTCAAAAGAGGGGGATGGGGAAAGTTGCCCGCCTGTCGACCGAGGCCTCGCTGCACAAGTCGCCCGCCATGCTGTAGAGAGTCACAGTATCCTGGCGTCGCACGCCACATCCACCCCGAATAGTCACTATCAAATTGCCATGGCTTCCCATGCTATGACTCTGAATCAGTAATATGATTCTTGGCAAAAGGGGGGTCTCGCTTCCCAAACCTGGTGTGGTAGCAAAGCACTTTGTTTAACAGAACCAAACCAGACAAAACATGACAAAACCTAAGAAGCATGCCAAAAAACAGCGAAGGAAGGCCGTATGATGGACACTTGGAGTGTATTCTGCAACCTTTTTGTTTAGCGCGTTGGGTTGAGGTGTTCAGTCTCCGAAACAACCAATGGCATTGTGGGGGGACCCACAAAGGGAACATGGGGAAGGCTCCCATAGTCGGGGTACGCAATGTCCTCTATATTGAACTGTGGGGATCACATTAAATTGAATAGTTGTGCATCTCCAACATATTCAAACCTGTTCAAAGCCATGGGAGCTCGTCAGGTCGCCCAAAATCACCCTTTTTGCTCCCATCCTGAACCACCAGAGGTGCAAAACCATAGGTGTCCTTTTGGGGAAATAGATGGCCCTGGTAGTTGATTGAACCACCAGGTAAACCAGGGACCTCTATTTTTCAACCAAATCAACCAAGAAGGACACCTATGAGCAAAACCGTTTGAGCGAGTGGACCTTCCCAAAGCCAAGAATTACCCTCGTTGAATTCGAGGCTACGTCAATGCTCGACGCAATGCAAGAATCAAGAGCAGGGCGGCAAGCCTAAAAACAATTTGGCACCATGTCTAAAGGCTGCCCTCAGATCCCCGCAAAAAGTGACTAACTTTTAGTGGGTTAAATTCGGAAACTACCACTAAACACTAAAAGGCTAAAAAGCTAAGGAACTGGATGGCTGGGAGCCACCAAGATCTCTAAAATGCTCACCGGCTGAAACAGGACATCTGACAAGGGTGGTTCCTAGCATGTCGGCAGTGAACCTCCCACATGGAAACCGTAACCTGATCTCACCTCAGTTGACTGCCCAAACAACTTAAAACGGCTTTGGACTTCATTGGACAAACAAACAAGCGGGGATACGGAGGGAACGGGGATATGGGGGGATTCCCTTGGCGCATTTCCCAGATCAAACTTAGTCAAGGTGCATTTGAGGGGAATCCTCCCGTATCCCTGGTTCCCCCTGTATCCCTGCTAGTTGGCTTCCCTGCCTTCACTAAAACGCGGTTTGTCAATTCGGCACCTGGGAACGGAAACAAAAGAAGTCAGGACATCCCAATACCCATTGTTTACCCTTGTGGTTCTCTTTGAGGGCCTCGCAGCACTGGGTGTTGGAAATCGCCCGAGGTCAGGCAACTTGGGAAACATCACAAAACGCCCTTCTGAGAGCCTGACTACCATCTCTGGCAAATGGAATCACCTTGTCCACTTGTGGTCTCGACACGACAAGCTCACTGCTTGATCGTCCTCGGTCAAGCAAAATACCAAAAGGGGCGCAATGAGTCTCCCTTTGGTTGCGCGGGGAAACTTCACGCGGTGGGTTACCAGGCAGAGCGACCTGGTCGCCTTGAGACGCCCGCACCAAGAGATGGCTCTCCTTGTAGCCCAGAAGTCGCCATGTGATGCTGTGACTTGTCGTTCGCCCACCTTCTTGACTGGGCTGATCCCCGGTTGCACAGCGACCCTGGCAGAGAAAGGGCGCTCTTTTTGGGATTGACCAGGTTCACTGGGGAACGCGAGCAAAAAAGGAACAAGGCTGCCACTGAACAATCCCTCCCAAAATACCCTCGCGGATGCCAAGTGTACAAAGAGTTCGTAGGGAAACCGCCATTTCCAAAGGAAAAGCTTAGTTGGTACCAAACTTAGTTGGTACCAAAAAGAACTCGAGAAGCTGCAAGTTTGGTCCTGCGTGAGGGCGGTGAAGAGCAGGTGCACCGCGTCCACGACGTCCAAGTCCCCGGCCTTTTTGGCCCCGAGCCCCAGGCCCAGGACATTGGGCCCCGAGTCGCAGGGGCCCCGAGTCGATGACCCATAAAAACATGCGGGAGATCAAGAGAAAGAGGTTTGGTACCACAAGGGCCTTCATGTAAAAGAAAAGGTAATGACCACCCGAGGCCCGGGGCAATCAAATAGGCCATCGTTTCGACACGGAGAGGGCAGCAGACTGGCCAGATGTAGTGCCCCTGTCCCTCTCTCATGCTTTTGCTACAAAAACCGTGGCCATGTGTAAACTTCCAACGCTTGGCCTCTCAAGAGAATGAGCTTGACACAAACCCCATATTGGATAGAGTAGGCTGCCTTTCAAAAGTGGGGTACCCTCAAAACCAAACACGCACATCTACTAGAAGGGCCAAATGAATATGGGTACTTGAACATCAAATGAAATCAATTTCATAGAACGATATCAGTGGAAAATAGTTTGCCCCTTACGACACCCTTGCTTCTGACGTGGATTGATCAGAACAAATTCCAACCATTGTCTAGCACCGATCTTCTGACAAACTCGTCAAATTGCCAAACAGTGATGTGTGAAGCCACAAGGTCCGAATTTCGGGGCAAATGAGGTTGCCATGATTTGCCCAGATTGATTAGCTCTCCAATTCAATTACGGCCTCTGCAAAAGATCCCCACAAAAGGGCATCCCAAGGAGGTTGCTCTACTATTGCAATTCGGACAAACGGACAAAATACTGGATCACGGTTCTGAAAAATGATCAGTTCTGAAGTGGGATTCATATCCCTATGACTACCTTATCACTTGAAAGGGGTTTAGAGCTCCTGCCCTTCAGTATCCAAATAGACAGGACACCCCATCACCGTCGACCCTACCTCCAAAGGGTTTGGGCCCCCAACCTGGTCATGTCTGGTTATCAAGATATAAAACCGCCGCAAGCAGCTCCCAAATTCCGGCCAAATCACACCATGTGCTTAACATCGAGCTACCGAACAGGGTGAAATCCCAGAATCCCAAGCAGCACACGTGGGCATGATTTGGGCGACCCCAGAGAGAAGTACAGAGACACCAAAGGAAGTCCACCTGCTTTCTACCCTTTTGGGCAATGAAACTGTGACCCGCCTGATACGAATTTACCGGTTCCATGTGGCTCTCCCCGTCCACCTAAGGACCCTTGTGGCTAGAAGCTTAGAGCTTGGATTCCTGGCAAACCTTCCCAGCCCTCTACTCCATTTGAACCAACTCGGTGGCGAGGGATTAAGTTTTGCAGGGGAACCCACCCAAAAGCTCAGGGACAAACACATTTGCCCCACTCGGGAAACACCGGATCCATTTCCAGCACCCAGGACAAAGACATGCCCCACTGGTGGTCGGGAAACACCGGATCCATTTCCAGCCCGACCCAACAAGAACCCGACCGAAACGGCCACCCCTTCGAGCCTTCCGGAAGAGCAACAGCTGCTCCGAGAGCCCCGGGATGGCCCTAGGCAAAAACCCGAACGTGGGATCGATCCCCCAAATGCCTGCTTTCCCGAGGCCTGTTTGTTTTTCTAGGGCTGGTTTGGTTGGTTGGTTGGTTTGTTCTTCTCCTGTTCCAACCTGGGCGAAGTCATTGCACTAGTCACTAGTCTCCCATGAACATAACTTGATTTGGTTTTCAAGTATCTCACAACCTCATTATTTGTCTGCACCTTCTGGCGATTCACCAACAAATTCCCGTGGCAACACAATGGTTAATCCGGGCAAATTAGAGATTCGGAAAGCTGAAATCAGGAATCTCAGAAGCTCCTTCTCGGTGACCAAGCTCGATACAATTGGGGCAAATTGAAATTGGTTCCGCTGCGGTGAAACTATGCCTTTGCAGATCCCCATTTTCACTATAGTAGGTAACTCGCCATTTGTCTTTTGGTGTTTACAGGTTCATTGTGTCTACTAGGGGTTGATTCCCATTCTTTTTAACCATCGCTCTTTCCACAAACCAGCTGTTTCCTCTCAATTTTGATGGTTTCCTGAATGAAGGATCCCTAGAAAGAATGTGGAAGCTTCCCCTGGATTTCTACTATACAGAGACATGGCATCACTGCGTACAAAGGACGTGATGTTGCTTGGCTTCTGTGGGAAATTTCGTAAGTCCCTGATGTCCCTTGACCGAGACATATGGGCGTGTCTTAAAATAGGGGAACCCCAAAATGATGGCTGATGTTGGTTTCCCTGCAAAGCCACAAAAAAGCCGACAGGACAAGGGGACCCTGGTGGAGATTGGCGATGTTCTCTGCCTTCTAAGGCCCCTCGAATTTCTCCCATGGGCCCCTCCTTGTGGCAAGAACGCCCACACCGAAGAAGCCGAAGAACATAGACAACCCGCAGATTGACAGAATTGAGTATACTTACATGCTCTGGTTAGTTTTTGGTTCTGACATGGGTAAACTTCCAAAACTGATACCTTCCCCGTTGGTTTCCCTTCGGACAACACACCGATCCCGAAAAGGCTTTCCATTTAACAAGTGGATATGTCACAAAGGATCCACAAATGACAGAGTTCCCTTGTGGGAATCAGTTTGTGACCGCCCAATAAAAACTAGCCAAGGCCTTGTTGAGAGGAATGCAGGGGGTTGCAAGGGGAGGGGCGGTCGGATCCTATGACTGAAGGAAAGTTGCAGGCACCAAGGCCCTGGGAAGCTCTGACGTTTGCTGCCCAGATTGCAAACACTCACTGGTCACTGGCGTGAGATGACGCGCGGTGGGATGATGCACGTGGGGCTGCGGCTCCTGAAACAATATCCTATGCCAGTCGCCTCTTCTCCGTAAAACTGCCTATAAAACTGCCCTGCAGGGAAGCTGATGCCCACATCAGACATGAGGAGAACGGGCAAACAGGCTGGCAATTGCTATTCTCCCAATACTACCTGCCATTGAGGGCCATGATCTTACCGTGGCCCTTATTATAGCTCTGACTCTGTACATTTTGTTTCAACAGAATGAACCAAAACGCGGACAGTGACCAGTTGGGCTATCCACGAATCCAGCACTCCTCCCAAATCAAACACTGCCAATGAGCGTTGCATTCCTCACTTCTGTGTGCGTTCACGTCCCAGAACGTCCAGAAGCTCAGGCGAACGACCCTTCCCTCGCTACACAGGACGGGTCCCTGGATGGAAGATCTCCTGAACCAAAGTTGGGTCTGTGAAAATAGGGGATCCCCCCGAACCGAAAGATGTCTTCCTGTTTGGTTTCCCTTTAAACCTAACTGCAAACTTTGGGCGCCCCTTCGCCTCAAACAAGTGCGCTACGGATTCGGGCTACGGCCGCGGCTGCTTTCCCATCTGCTCGCTGAAGCCCGCAGAGACGCAGGTGCCTGCCTCAAGACCCAGCCTCGAGACGGCCGATGGGAGACGACCACTTTTCCGGCCTTCGGGGTCGAAAATACTTGCTCAATATCATGGGGCCTGCGGGGGGAGGGAGGGGGGCGGGAGGGAGCCTATAAGGCAGGGCACAGCCGGGAATGTGGTTGAACGAGCCGGTCTTGGGGATTCCCTGAAAGCAAACCACCAGTTGGATGGTTTACAAGAGTCATTCCAATTCTAAATTCCCTGCTGAGCACCAGCAGGAATAAGATTCGGTCCCCCAAAATGGTGTCTTGTTGGCTTCCCTTTAAATAGCAAAGCAGGGGTCCCCTAAAATGGATGTCTCTTTTTGGCTTCCCCGTCCCTTTTTCCCAGCATGGAAGTGGACGATCGGAGGGGTGTGGCTTGAAAAGGCACCACCCTTTGCCTTGCATTGAGCTGATAGAGGGTAAATATGCCCACAGTATCCCACTGTAATGTCAGCTTCAATGGATAAGCAGCTATCCAAACGTCCCTTTCAAGGGGATGGTCTCACAGAAGAACTGCATTGCCATTGCGTGGAAGGGCTTCATGCAATCAGCCGTTGACTCCATCAGTCCCTTGGGCCTGCCTCGGGCTTTGCCTTGCTCTTGTCCTAGGCTCATCTAACCCCCCCGCCAGAGGTCCAGGAAACAGGTTGGTTGACCTATAGCCTACCATGGCTACAACCTACTTACCAGACACTTCAACATCCAAGCAGAAAGGCTTCAAAGCCTCTGGGTCTGCCGAAGGCTGGAAAACCCTTGCTTCACTGCTCTCGGCAAAATGTTTGGTGCTGTTCAATTTTTTGCAGGCCTTCAGAAACAAAGTTGTTTGCAATCATACCAGGGCTGTGGCTCAAAAACATGTACTAGAATTGCCCCCATGGTAAATGGAACCAAAGACCATCACCTCTTAAAATTTGAGCCACACCCACCAAGTTTGAAGCAAAGCTTACGCCAAGGCATCGCAAGAAGCCTACCTGTTTAGGGGAAACTGCTTGGGCCTGGTTTTTGCGGCAAACTTGGTGAGCCCCCTTTCTCGTCCTCCCAAAATGAACACCAGTAAGTGTGTCGTCGCCGGTTGTCGAGGAGCGAAGAACACAATTCGGCTTCAATCAGGAGGATCTGGTAAATGTCACCAGAATTACATGTGCTTGCATTTTGCTTTGCGTGTTTGTGTTTTCCTGGACTCACGCGGAGATTGGTTTTTGATTGCCATGAGTGCTGGTTTCAACGTGTGTGATCGTCAACAGTCCACCTCTTGGACACTTGCAGCTCGTCCAGCGAGATCACTTGGATGCCCCAAACCTTTTTTTTTCCCACAACCATGCCGGGTCGTCCTTTTCAACTGCAAGCAAGTTGACTTGCAACTATATCAGGAAGCTTTGACTCGTCGAACGGTAAGGTCAAAAGAATTAAAAGGCCACCCTCTCATCAACAAACTGCCTTGGTGCATGGCCCCCCCCCCCTTTCCAGGAGGATAGTAGCCTCCTGTGCTCCCTTCTTCATGTGAGCGTAAAGGTCAAACCAAACAGCAATCGGTTTTTGCAATGAGTTGGGTCATTCATCCCGCGCCTTGGTTTTCTAGTTTCTTCTTGGACTAATTATCCTTGACTTATTCTTGATTTCTTGGATCTGCTTCTATTCTTCTTGATTCATTGGTTTCTCCTTGGCGTTCCAGGTTGCTCAGCCCATGCCGAGCTGCAGCGAGAGTGTGCTGTCCGCCTTCTCCTCCGGCAGCGTCACTTCGCCTGAGTCGAAAGCCGCGCTATGACGGGTGGCGCTGTGATAGGTAAGGCTTACTCCCCTACACTCGGTTGCGCTCTCTGCTCCCCTGTTAAAAGTGACTAACATTTAGTGGCTTAATACGGAAACCCCATATAGTTGGCAAACAAGGTTGTAAAGTCCCGTAACGTTTCCTTTGGCAAAATGCACCAAAGATTAGCAGATTAGCATGGAACCCAGAAAACCCCTCAGTTTTAGAGGATCAGTAGCTTGTGTCAGGAGTATATGGTCTTGTCTGCTTTAGGGAAACCGCTTCCGGTTGGTTTGAAGGGGAAACCAAAAGGTAAAGCATCGTCTTGGGGGGTTCCCTAGTTTTAAGACATGCCCATGCAGGCCTTAGTCTATTCACTGTTGAACCCACCTACTAAAATGCCGAAGGGAATCGGTTTTGGTCGCTGCTTGAGTGAAAGGGGCCAGGACTGAAAGGATCACCATGTGGTCAGCCCTCCAATTACCTTGCTTCATCCACAGCAAAGACGCAGAAACGGAAGCTAAACTATTTGGAATCATGACGAAGCTCAAGGGGAAACCTACACTCCCTCATATCCCAAGAACCAAAACATGTGTCGATTCTGTTCCATATTGAACGAGCCTCGAAATGTAAAAACATCAATGTGCAAGGAACCCCACGAAATGCAGGCCGCGAAAGGGATATGATACCCGCCTTCCCACGGCGGCATGAGGGACTCTAATCTTCTACAAACCTTCAGTCAGGTTCCATAGGGCGAAGCCATAAATAACTAAAGCCCACAGGCTCCAAATGGGCTTGGCTCCAAGATGAGGACATGGAGCCCCGAAACGGTTGGGTTCCCTTCGGGTTCCCTACGAAAAGGGGTGGCCTTTATAGAAAAGGCACACCCAAATGCAACCCCAAAGTCTCCTTGGCCTTATGTTCCTTCGCAGGAAAAAAATGCCGCGGATCTTGGGCATCTCGGGCTTTCCCAGGATCCGGGCCGACCAGGGATGCTGTTCAGGGCTTGAAAGTCTCCGATTTTTTGCGTCCCAACGGGGCCAAACCTGATGTGAAGGCCAAATCCATTCGCAACCCAAGGATGTTTACGCTTGCTGAAATGAACAGCTGGGATCCCCAAATTCGGATCTTCAATCTTCCCTTGCCGAATTCGTTTGTGAGACAGCAGCTCAACTCGGGCAGGTCAATCACTTGGACTTCAACCACTTAGTCAGACTTAGTCCTCTCAACAACGTCAACTACCGGTCACGCCGACTGACGACTTCAACCGCATGGTCCATCTCTCCGCAAGGCAGGCCACACATGGCTCTATGCTCAGTTCTTTTAGAAACTCGTCACATTCAGTCCGAACAGTTTATATAATTCTGATCATCCTGTGCCCAGGCCACCATACAACAACCCCACATCATACGTTCCAGCCATACTCAACCTGTCCATAGGCAAGGATCCATCAAGCCTCAATCGGCCTGAGGGGCCATCTGACGGGCACACACTAAAACGCCCAACAAGCGCTCCTTGGAAAGGCTTCTCCTCTGCAAAAGGGGATGTTGAAGCAGGGGCTCTTATGTTCTCCACCTGAACATTGCCCCTGCCCCTCCCCAAAAAGAAAACAAAGCTTCTTGTTGGTCCGATGGAAAGGGTCATGTTTCAAATGGCCGAGCTGGCTCCCGCGGAAATTGCCCATCGCTGGCCTGTACTGCATGCCATCTGACCCTCCATCCGTGTCCACTCAGTGCATTCCGGCACATTAAATGAAAGGTGTAAACGTGCTTCCATGGACAGGAATCTATAATACAGCTGTCAGGATCCAATTCTAAGAAGTCAAAGCACTTCGCGTGCTCGTGGTGCTAGCGGTCTTCGCATCTGAATCCGTCGGGCAACTCTGATGAACAGGCATGAGCCGGCTACAAGCAGAAGCCACTGCCACAGTAGAGAAATTGCATCTTCCGTCGCCAGTTTCGTCTCTGTAGCCTACATGCCATAGCGGTTTAGCCACTCAGCTCAACTCCCCCGGCAACGTAGGCCACAACTGACTGGCGAAAGCACACAAGGTATGCTGCAGCAAGCAAGCCAAGGGCCCCATGTTCAGCTCTCTTGTAAACTCGTTACATTCAGTCCGAGTTGAACAGTTTATATAATTCTGATCATCCTGTGCCCAGGCCACCATACAACAACCCCACATCATACGTTCCAGCCATACTCAACCTGTCCATAGGCGAGGATCCATCAAGCCTCAATCGGCCTGTGCCACGCGGGTGTCCGAATACGTCAACAATGCGGCGCTAAGGGGCCATCTGACGGGCACACACTAAAACGCCCAACAAGCGGTCCTTGGAAAGGCTTCTCCTCTGCAAAAGGGGATGTTGAAGCAGGGGCTCTTATGTTCTCCACCTGAACATTGCCCCTGCCCCTCCCCAAAAAGAAAACAAAGCTTCCTGTTGGTCCGATGGGAAGGGTCATGTTTCAAATGGCCGAGCTGGCTCCCGCGGAAATTGCCCATCGCTGGCCTGTACTGCATGCCATCTGACCCTCCATCCGTGTCCACTCCGTGCATTCCGGCACATCAAATGAAAGGTGTAACAGTGCTTCTATGGACAGGAATAGATATATATATATATAACTGTCAGGACTCAATTCTAAGAAGTCAAAGCACTTCGCGTGCTCGTGGTGCTAGCGGTCTTCGCATCTGAATCCGTCGGGCAACTCTGATGAACAGGCATGAGCCGGCTACAAGCAGAAGCCACTGCCACAGTAGAGAAATTGCATCTTCAGTCGACAGTTTGGTTTCTGCAGCATGCATGCCATAGCGGTTTAGCCGCTCAGCTCAAACTCCCCCGGCAACGTAGGCCACAACTGACTGGCGAAAGCACACAAGGTATACTGCAGCAAGCAAGCCAAGGGCCCTATGTTCAGCTCTCTTGTAAACTCGTCACATTCAGTCCGAGTTGAACAGTTTATATAATTCTGATCATCCTGTGCCCAGGCCACCATACAACAAGCCCACATCATACGTTCCAGCCATACTCAACCTGTCCATAGGCGAGGATCCATCAAGCCTCAATCGGCCTGTGCCACGCGGGTGTCCGAATACGTCAACAATGCGGCGCTAAGGGGCCATCTGACGGGCACACACTAAAACGCCCAACAAGCGGTCCTTGGAAAGGCTTCTCCTCTGCAAAAGGGGATGTTGAAGCAGGGGCTCTTATGTTCTCCACCTGAACATTGCCCCTGCCCCTCCCCAAAAAGAAAACAAAGCTTCCTGTTGGTCCGATGGAAAGGGTCATGTGTTTCAAATGGCCGAGCTGGATCCCGTGGAAATTGCCCATCGCTGGCCTGTACTGCATGCCATCTGACCCTCCATCCGTGTCCACTCAGTGCATTCCGGCACATCAAATGAAAGGTGTAAACGTGCTTCCATGGACAGGAATCTATAATACAGCTGTCAGGATCTAATTCTAAGAAGTCAAAGCACTTCGCGTGCTCGTGGTGCTAGCGGTCTTCCGTCTGAATCCGTCGGGCAACTCTGATGAACAGGCATGAGCCGGCTACAAGCAGAAGCTCCTGCCACAGTAGAGAAATTGCATCTACAGTCGCCAGTTTCGTTTCTGCAGCATGCAAGCCATAGCGGTTTAGCCGCTCAGCTCAAACTCCCCCGGCAACGTAGGCCACAACTGACTGGCGAAAGCACACAAGGTATACTGCAGCAAGCAAGCCAAGGGCCCTATGTTCAGCTCTCTTGTAAACTCGTCACATTCAGTCCGAGTTGAACAGTTTATATAATTCTGATCATCCTGTGCCCAGGCCACCATACAACAAGCCCACATCATACGTTCCAGCCATACTCAACCTGTCCATAGGCAAGGATCCATCAAGCCTCAATCGGCCTGTGCCACGCGGGTGTCCGAATACGTCAACAATGCGACGCTAAGGGGCCATCTGACGGGCACACACTAAAACGCCCAACAAGCGCTCCTTGGAAAGGCTTCTCCTCTGCAAAAGGGGATGTTGAAGCAGGGGCTCTTATGTTCTCCACCTGAACATTGCCCCTGCCCCTCCCCAAAAAGAAAACAAAGCTTCCTGTTGGTCCGATGGAAAGGGTCATGTTTCAAATGGCCGAGCTGGCTCCCGCGGAAATTGCCCATCGCTGGCCTGTACTGCATGCCATCTGACCCTCCATCCGTGTCCACTCCGTGCATTCCGGCACATCAAATGAAAGGTGTAACAGTGCTTCTATGGACAGGAATATATATATATATATATAACTGTCAGGACTCAATTCTAAGAAGTCAAAGCACTTCGCGTGCTCGTGGTGCTAGCGGTCTTCGCATCTGAATCCGTCGGGCAACTCTGATGAACAGGCATGAGCCGGCTACAAGCAGAAGCCACTGCCACAGTAGAGAAATTGCATCTTCAGTCGCCAGTTTCGCTTCTGCAGCATCATGCCATAGCGGTTTAGCCGCTCAGCTCAAACTCCCCGGCAACGTAGGCCACGACTGACCAGCGAAAGCACACAAGGTATACTGCAGCAAGCGAGCCAAGGGCCCTATGTTCAGCTCTCTTGTAAACTCGTCACATTCAGTCCGAGTTGAACAGTTTATATAATTCTGATCATCCTCGGGCCATCGGTGCAGAAAGTGAAGCGCTTCTGGCCTCCGGTCTCGACAAGTTTTTTTGTCCTTCCTTCTCATTTTCCGACCGATTCTTGTCCGCGTGGTTGTGGTTTTGGTTTTCTTCGTTTTTTAGGGGGACCCCCCTGTTTTTGGGGTGGGTTTAAAGGGAAACCAAAGGGGACACCTTCATTTTGGGGGTTCCCCCAAAAATGATGTGCGTCAAACGAGAAAGACACCCCTGCATTTGATAACAACACTGTTCTGAAGCGCCAAATATGTCCAGCAAAAGGTGCTCGGTTTGGCCTCCGGTTCACAATCTGAAAAGAGAAGAGGAATCTGCACACTCTCCGCACCACAGCCAACATTGCCTGTGCGCAAACACTCG